CTTTTGCTTTTTTTCAAGGCTTGGCGTACTTGCTGAACTGGCTGCAGCCACGGTAGGTTTTGGAGACCTTGAAGGTGATGCTGTGGCACAAGAAGCCCTCTGTCCATTCACCATCTTGGATGGGGGAATCTTGTCCCCAGACACTGCCCCGTGAGATGGGAAAGGCCTCTGCATAAGCAACTGAACCGGAGACTCAGAAGAACTATGCAGGAGTAGCTGCTGCTGCTCAGTTCCTGAAACAGGCTGTATCCTGATTATCTGGGGATTAATAATGCCAACTCCTGGTATGCTGGATTTCCTACCAACTGGCTGACTCAGCGTTATAGTTTTGGACTGGATTGGTGCCAACGATGTCATTGGCCCTTCAGTTTCCTTCATCTGTCCTGGCTGAACTTGGACACAAATGGCTTCCAGCTGCTTTTGTGGAAAAAAGAAAGAGTTGCAATTACACACATTTATTTCTTTATTAATAAATAAATGCAATATTTATTGAGATAATACACACATTCTCTTAAAGCAAAGTGTGAAGAAACCACTGCACATCATTAACTTTCCATCTTAATGCATCAAAGCAGATTCCCTTCCTTCAAGCTATGGGTTTTCCTGCACATTTTCTGCTGTGACTGTAGTTCAACTAAAGCATGTAAGGTTTGCTCTGAGGCCATGTCACAGCTTTGTTTCCTGCTAGCAGGCCTGTCTGGAGTAGCAGAGTCAATGCCATCACTAAGTCACGTTCATAACCTTCAGCAAACCCCACTGGGAAAGGGAAAACTACAGTCTGCTACATGACACAGGCCAAATACCCAGTCCAGCACATCCTATAATGTGTGTTCAGTTCACAAAAACTTAGTGGTGATGATTCACAGAATCAGATGCTGCTGTTTATCTCCCTCACAGTTTCCCTGCCTCATCCAAATTTCTGCTTCAGTTCAATCACTTCACAGCCTACACCCCAAAGGTGGGTTGGAAGCCCAGGGACCTGCAAGAGGCATGCAGTAACTTCCTGTGCATCACCACTTAACCACTACCCAACAGTTCTAAGCTGTTCTTGGCTGCACGTGTTGTCAGACTGAAATACTGACCACAGCAGCTATTAGTTACATTCAAACACGGATTTTCCTAAACCACATTGAAAGCTGTGCCTTTGAGCTGCGGGAGCGGAGTCTACACCCGAGGGCAGGTGTGACTGAAGAGAACGGCAAAAAAAAAAAAAAAAAAAAAAAAAGAAAAAGGATTAGACCCGCGGGAGCCGTGGCTTTCACCACCAACGGAGCGCCGCAGCCTCCCTCCCCCCAGCCCCGGGGTTACCTTGTGCGGGAGGAGGCGGGCGGCGGCCGCGGCCCTGCCCTGCTGCAGGGCGACCTGCTGGGCCACGCTCTGCAGCTGCCGGGCGGCGTTCTGCATGATGCCGCCCGCGGGGCAGGGCTGCGGCGGGGGCGCCGCCGGCTTCAGCTGCTCCTGGGCCTTGCTCACTTGCTCGATGACCCGCCGGAGCTCCGCGGGGGCCAGCGGCGCGGCGGCGGGACGGGCCGGCGGGGTTGGCCCCGAGCTCTCCAGCAGCCGCTCCAGCAGCCGTCGCTGCTCGCCGGCGCTCAGCCCCGCGCCCTCCGCCGCGCTCCCGTCCGCCCGCAGGTACAGCACGGGACCGCTCGCCGCCGCCCCCACGCCGGCTTCCAGGGCGGCCAAGCTCTGCACCAGCTCCTCCGTCACCGCCGGCAGCTCCGCGCCGCCGCCGCCGCCCTCCTCTCGCCCCGCCGCCCCGCCGGGGAGTGCCCCGCGGGTCCCGGGGGGCTCGTTCTCAGCGGGCGGAGGGGACGGCAGTGCCCCGGCGCCCCCCGCCCCGGGAGCCGCCATCTTGGCAGGCGCGGGCGGGCGGGCGCCGCATCGGCGGCTGCCCCCGGCGGTGTCGGCAGCGCGGGCGATGCGCGGGGCACCGGCGGCGGGGCCAATGGCGCCCCCGGCAGCGCCCGCCGCGCCCCCCCGGGGCGGGGCCGCCCGGCGCCGACGGCGGCTCGTGCGGGCTAAACCGGCGGAGGTGCGCCCGCAGCTCCTGGCCCCGGTGGGGCTGGATGCGGGACCCGCGGGCGGAGTTACCGTGAGTTGGGTTTGCCCGCTGTTCGAGCTGAGTCTGTACCGAGTCGCGGTACAAGAGGGACATGGAGCTCCTAGAGCGGGTACAGTGGAGGGCAGTGGGAGGTAGCTGAGATACCGGAGCGTCTGTGCGTGTGTCTCACGAGGAAAGGATGAGGGGGATCGAGCCTTTCCAGTCTCGAGCAGAGACGGCTCAGAGGTCCCCTTGTGTCTGTGTACAAGTACCTAAAGGGCCTTGTGCCAAAAGAATGGATCCACGCTCTTCTCGGAGGTGCCGACTTCTGGGATACGAGACAACTGATGCACAGAAAGTTCTACCTGAACATGCGGAAGAACTTAACTGTGCGGGTTACCGAGCACTGGAACAGGTTGCTCAGAGATTGCGGAGTCTCCCTCAACTGGAGATATCCCAGAACGGTCTGGACGCAATCCTGTGCCGTGTGCTCTAGGACAAGTCTGCTTTAGCAGTGACGTTTGGACGAGTTGCGGTCTCCTCCAAAGTGACCCATTCCGTGAATGTGTGCTCCGTTTCGGGCGGCGGAGCGGGTGCCACGCGGGAAGGACAGCCCACACGGCAGAAAAGAGCCCGAAGGGTCACCCGAGCCCGCAGTAGCCAACCCAGAATTCTGCCGGGGCCGGCCGGCCTCCATCAGCCGCCGGCGCGCAATGAAGCTCGGTCCGTGCCCTGGGCGCTCGACCCCGCACAGAGAGAGACACACACACCTCCCAAGTTCCCGGCCGTGCCCTTGTGCAAAGATCACGCCGCGTCTCAGCGCAACCGCGTGAGGTGGGTGGGAATCGCTGGGACGAAAAAAACACGGGAGAGAAAAAGGGAATTCCTGTGGCCCGTACGGGGATCGAACCCGCGACCTTGGCGTTATTAGCACCACGCTCTAACCAACTGAGCTAACCGGCCACTTACTTTAGCAGCCGCCGCCAGGAGTAATAAAGACAATCCTGTGCCAATGTTCCACCTTTCGTCCGAAGCCACGAAGGCGACGGACTGGGCAAGGAATCTCCTCGTCCCCAGGAGCACCGGACCTGGGCCCGCGCATATGGAAACACACGCTTATCTCCTCAGCAACACCAAAAGCAAATCGGAAAACTTTACCCTGCCTATAGAGAGATGCAGCGCCTGGTAGAGAACAACCGTAACGTGGAATCGGGGACAACTTCACCTCTAAGTCAATAGACTAATACTTCTTCAAGATTACTAAGATATGATTACAGTTTCTTTTAATTAAAATATTTGAACATTCTTAAAATGTATCTACTATTCTGGTCAACACGCTACAAGGATTTTGTTTTGCACGGACAAAAAATTCACCGTTTCCTGGTGTTCTGATTTTTAGTACATATGCTGTACAGAAAAGAACTTTTCTGCCCACCCTTGAAGCCTACGTTAAAGCACAGGATGTCTGTTTAGCAAGAGGCAAATACCGGGAGGCGGGGACAGGGAGGGGATGACACAGCTCTCCAAAATGCGGGTTTTTGGAGACAGCTCGGTGAGAACACAGCCCCTGCTCTCTCCCCGGGCTCTTCTCTGTGCCGGGCTGGCGGTACGGCGGCTCTCCCCATCCCGCAGTGGCGCGCAGGATCCGCCAGGGATCAGGCCATCACCGGGGATGAATGTGAGCCCGCCGGGGCGCTGCTCTGGCCACGGGAGTCTTGGCAACAGACAAGGCCCGCCGCTGGATTTATGGAGCACGTCTCTTGTCCCAAGGGCTCCCCTCCTTAACCCCTCACCCGCGGGCGGCTCAGCCCCGCCATCCCCGGGGAGTCGGGACGCCAATTGACACCTCGAGGCCAGGTATTTCGGGTTTTATTCTAGTTTGCGCAAAGCAGAGAGCTGGCTGGTGTCACACAAAAGTCTAGCCCAGTGATCATCAAAACTTTATACTTGCTATATACCTTTTAACAAACAAAGGCATCAGCATTCCTCGGTTACCAACTATGTAAGTTTTCTATTAATTAGTATTCAAACCACTATTTGGTAGTAACATCTCGCTTCTTGTGCTAACTAGTCCGCAGGCGCAGTTCTTTTTTTCCGGTTGAGTCTGGGGTCCCTTCTGGGTAGGTGGCCAGAGGGTTGCGATCTCACACTGCCGAAGTTTCCCCCAGTTACTGGTCCATTCTCCTGACTTCAGTCCTGATGGCTCTCGTCCAGACAGCCCATTCACCTTGGGATTTTCTTTCCTTTTCCTAAAAAAAAAAGATTTTACCCGAGGGTGCGACATGCACAATTCTGCCGCACCTGGGCGCGCACCTGGCGGGCAGGGACGGGGCGCTGGCACGCCGTGCACACTGCGCATGCGCGCCCGCCCCGGCCGTGCCGTGTGCAGCGGGCCGCGGCGCGGGGCCAGCGCGTGCGCGGTTGCCGGGGCGACTGGAACACAACATGGCGGCCTGAGGGGTGCGCCGGGAGCGGGGCCGGGTCGGGCCCGGCCGCTGATCCGCCAGCCCCGGCACCGGCGGGACGGCGCGGGAGGCACAGTAAGAGGGTACGGGGAAAGGCCTCGGGCTCTTTCTGAGGGGTGGTGTGGGCCCGGGCCCTCCATGGAGGCTGGCGGGCACGGAGGGGGCCGTGGTCTTAGGGAGCACCGCGCCGAGGGGGCTGTGGGTGCTTCTGCCGGCCCTGGGAACGCCGAACCCGCGGCCCCTGGGCAGCTCCCGGGGCTCGCATGGCCACGCTGGTCTCTGCGTCCCACTCCTCCGCAGCAGGGCAAAAATGGGTCTGTGTCTGGGCTCCTGCGGGGCATCACCCCGGCTGCCGGTCTGCGAGTGCTTTCTCAGAACTGCTGAGTGCTCCTGGTTCGGCACGCCTTGCTTTCCATTGCCTGGCATCCTTCACATCTGCCGTGTTACACCCTGCGCATCTGCCGTGTCTCTGAGTGCAAGAATTACGTACCATGGCCTTGAAGCTCAACTTCTTCATTTCTGCCTCCTTCATTTCTTTGGTTATTTCTTTCTTCCCACGTGTATCAATGTCATACTTAAACATCATAGCTTTTTCTTCCTCAGTATCTTGGCATCTTTGTAACAAAGAGTCTGCTGTAGATTTTTATAATATCCTCTTTTGACTACTGTAGTGCTGTCTTTTGTGTCATTTTGTATTGAATTCTTTAATTCTAAATGATTATTAATTTTCCACTCTCTCTAGTTAAAACGATTGGGTGTTGTCTTTGAGCTCCATCACTTGCCAATAATTTATACTTAGATTGTTCCTTATTTCCTGGGCTCTCTAGCCTCTTGCACAATAAACTCTTATTCTGTTGAATATTCATGGCCACTTTTTTGGGGTGTTGGATGAGTTCATATTGCTACAACTTGTTCTTCCCAACCTTTATTTCCCTTTCCACTAACGATTCTGAGCTTGAACATCTGTGTGTGCTGAAACAGAGGGGAGGGAGGGGAGAGGTTAATTTACATCCATTGTTACAGATGCATGAGAGAACTCTACCCAGTGATCAGGTCTCTGTTATTCTTCGGGGTTCTATGCAAATGTAATTGGAACACTTCCTTTAATTTATCCTCAAAGCTTTCAGTCTTACAATGCTCATAAAATTTTTAACCTTTTTTTCAGTCTTCTTGACTACAACAAATTCAGGTAATCCTAACTGGTAGTAAGTTTTGGTTTGTAGCTGTACAAATTTTCATAGCCTAAAGTTGCTCTGACCTGGCTTTTTTTTTGTTCAGTATGTGTTTGAAGTCTTTTGTTTTGATGGGTTCTTTTCATCATGATCAGGATGGTGCTGAAGTGGATTTTTAAGAATCTCCAGAAATCTTGGCTTGTGAATGCAAAATTAAAATTTGTTAGTACACCTGAACTCTAAATTTTATTTCTTCTTATTCTATATAAACTTCTGTGCTGTTGTCCTTACAATGTGTGATTTTCTTTCAGCTGCTGATTAAACAATAACTAACTTGTCATGGGATCATTATCATTTTGTCCCTGGGAAAAAAATCCCTCTTATTTTAGTGACCTGTTTTGTTCAGAGTTTACACATTGACTTTATTCATCAAAGAGACATTTCAAATACTGCAATTTTCATTCCTGATTCCACCCTTTATTCCATCAGTTGAAATTATCCAGGCCTTTGCTTCATTCTTTTAACTGGGTGGATCTCATAAGTGCCAGGTGAAAGCCTCAGTTGTTGGTTATGTGTGAGGTATTTATTTTGTCTACAGAGCTCTCTGTTGTGAAAGAATTGCAATAACAAGTTTTACATGCTTATGTGGAAAAGATCTGCAGTGCTGTAAGAATGTTCTGAAATGTGTGAAGGATTAAGTCCTTGTACTGTATCAGAATTCTGCAATTTAAATTCTAAACAACTCAACTTGTTTTGAGCTCTCCACTCTCATCTGGACTTCTCTTGTATGTGTAAAATACATTTATAGAAGAAAATATATAAACATAACCAAACAGTATAAACATGTACTATCTGGCTTGTTTAAATACCTGGAGATACTTTCAATAAATCTGTACAAGAATGCTTTCCCTGCATTTCTCTGCCCAAGTACTTTGCTTCAGTCACACTATGGCTGGTAGGCCATAGATATTTAAGATCTCATTTTCAGATCATATGATTTTGAATTTTTTTTTAATGTCAGAGAATCAATTACTTGCATTTAAGAAAAAAAATACAGGATGGCCATTTATTAGAATAAAAGAGTAAATCAGGAAATAACTAACTTTTTTGTGTCTGTCTTGTGTATATTTTGGGCTCAGGGCTGGCTCTGACATGATAAGAACATGTAACACAGCCAGTGTGTTTGTGACTGGTTGGAGGGCATCAGCTGCTACCAAAAATTGCATTTACACTGAATTCTGAGAGAGTAGTATTTAAGTAGTCTGAATTTACAATCTCCATCTTATATTTAGCAATTTAGATAGGAAATTAAAACTTAAGGTGGGGATAGAGAACATGGTGATTTTTCCTGACAAGATGTTCTTTCTTCAGTCTCAGTTGGTGAAGGCTGAGGGTCAGCTCACCTGGAGCACTAACCAAATTACCAAATTACAGCCAAAACAATTAAACTGTCCTGTGGCCTCCTCCCCATGTTGGAGTCTGTTAGAGATTGCCTCCTTTACCCACAATGATTTTCAAATTAATTTTGTGCCTTTAAAATGGCTCTACATGTAAATTGTCTCTATTGAGTGTATGAGATGGTGTGGTTTGTTTTAAATTACTCTTCTATTTCCAATTTTTCAAATTGAGATGGCCTAATTAGTTAGTTTATGGTGCAGCATGATAGAAAATGATCAGAAAACAGAACAGCAGATGATAAAAATGAGAAGAGCACCTGACAATTCTCATCTAAGTGCTGCTGCTGTATTGAAGAAAGAGGGGTTGCAAGGGGAAGGTTTCTATAATGAAAATACAAGCATTTGGCTCACAAAGAGAGAAAACACTTTTCTTGTTTGGGTTTGGTTTTTTTAAAGAGAAGCAAGTATGAAAGCTGGGGACATGAAAAGAGAATAAGAAACACAAATCGATTGTTGGTTGGCAGACAGCATTAGAGTGTCCCTGCCTAGGTAACTTCTCCCTCTGCAGAATTTCTTGGCAGGCTTTCTCCACTGTAAGGCTGTGTTTGTACTTGTAAATTAAACATATCTGGAAATCTTCTTGGACACAAGGAGCAGCTGGCATGAAATAGCCCTCATCTCTGCTAGTAAATTCTCTTATCTTCCAAAACAAGGCAGCAGGACAGAAACTGCTGGAGCACTGGCCTTAGAAGGAGTCCTCACACAGGCAGGGAAGGTGCCCCACCAAGTGCTGATTGTCACAGCCGTGTCCCTGCCAGGTGCTGCTGTCACAGTAACTAAGAACAATTAATAACTAATTCAGCCACACTGAATTCACTGCTGTCACAAAGCTTGAGACTCCCAGTTATTCTGACACCCAAAAAGGGCTGAATATGATAAAAGAAGTTTTCTGCCCTGCCTCCCTCAAAATGGCTGGGTTTGCATCTTTCTTGAATAAAGACCTGTGTCAAAAGCAACAGCAGCATAAAGCCAACCAGAACTGGATTTTGTTCAGGTGAAATTACTGAAAAAATTATCAAGGATAGAATCTGTAGGTGCTAAAAATAAAAGGCAATAGGAGGATGAGGTGGGTGAAGGGAACTAGGCACTGGGATTGGTAGGGAACAGTTAATCACAGAGCTGAAGGAGAATAAAGGAGGAAAGAAAAAAGTCAATTCTGATGGAAATTAGAAGACCTGAAAGTTAATATAAATAAAACTTTTTTTTTATAACCCATATCTGCTTCATCCCTTAAAGTTCTGCAGAATTAGAATTGACTGATTTTTCACATCTTTGTATTTGAAGCATTTAATTATCAAAGCCAAACATTACTTTTGGCCCAGAGCAAATCTCAAATCTGAATTTAATATGGGAATAAATCTTTAAAATCAGAAACTGCTTTGCTTAAAATAAAATATATAAAAAACCCCAAACAAACCAAACAATACCTCCACAAAAAACCCCAACAAATTTCCCATTGTTCCCATGTTGGAACAATGATTCCATGATACACTTACTTTCCAAGATAATTTTGTTTTCAGTACATTGTAAATAGAGGGAGTGTTTTGTTTTGTTTTGTCTTGGTGAAAGAAGCAAAGAATAAATTCAAATATGAGTTTCTAATATGCTGCAGGATAAAAAAAGGTAGGAAGAGCTGTGTGGAGAGGCATCATGTCTCTGAGCAAGGAAGTGGTAGTTTATTGTCTAAGAATTATTGTCTTTTTCTTTCTGGAATATATATTTCTGTAATCTGGGCAGCAAAACTTCATTTGCTGTTTTTCATTACATGTTAACAAAAACTTTTATCTGAAAGTTTTCCATTAGTCAGCATTTAACAAGTAAAGTAAGGATTGATACACAGTCTTCATAATAATTGCAAACATACTGAAACAGTGTATTTTTGTTTTTAAAATACCAGTTGCTAAGATAAGGAGAGGGAATATTTTCTGATGTTCTGGAGAAAGTGAGCCTTTGGGAAGGAAACTGCTATGCAAGTAAACACATGAAGCGACATTTTGAAAGGTATGCATAATTAATCATGGAAATTGTACAGAAAACCATGTTTAAATTCAGTGAGGGAACACAAAATTAAGACTAAGGGAATCTTTTTAAGTGCACATGAATTAAAAAGGTTTGCATGTGGTACAGAAGGGGAACTCTGCCTTCCTGTTAGGCACTTGGGGTTATTTCCTTGAGTGCTCTAATTGATGTCACCCACTGTGTTAAATGGGGCCTGGCCACTGGGTCAAGGGTACAAGGATGAATGAGGAATAAATAGTTGATTTCTGCCTTGCCAAATGCACAAATATACTTGTGCTGTTTTTCTTTTATCTGTTTTTAATAATTGAAGGAAATGTGTCAGTCCTCTTCTTGGGTAATACTTTTTTCAGCCTCTTTAAGTACTGTTGTAATGCAGGTTAAAACCAGTGCATTTATCCTTAGTCAATGTATAGCATTAGCTCTCCTTCATGTTTGCATTTATATTTACATCCATCACTCAGATGTTATATGTTATATATATATGTTATATATATATATCACAAAACAGGTGCATTTATCAGTTAGGGAAATGGAGCAGAGGGCTGTGTGTAAGTAGACATAGACTTGGCATTGTCCTCCAAGTATCCAAGTGCCAACCAGTGCCTCTTGGGTTACTGATTTTATATTCTCAGTTAAATATATCAAGTTCCTAATGAAAGCACTGGGAATGACTCATTTGTACATACAAAGTGAAATGGGACATTTTGCTCTTAGGTGAGATTTCAAAATGTAACTCATAGCTTCAAAGAATATCAGTTAAAAAAAGAGAAATATCTTCAAGTAATGTGTCTTCTGATCCTCTGTTATATTGTTAGAGATCTGTTGGTCAATTTATACACTACCTACAACTGACAGGATTGTCCACTTTATGATTAAAACAGTATTTAAACTGTTATTTAATTATATTTAGTATTTAAACTATCTGCTTAACTGTATCAAGGGCAGATGTATACAACTCAGTGGAAAGGCACTGCAGACTCTGTCATCTTTTCATCTAAAATGTCTTTTAGGCCTTTAACCCTTTGATAAATTGACTGACAAATTCTTTTGATGAAGAATTTCTCTTTTAACATTATTTTAAACAGAATCTGCCCATACATGGTATTTCTCCTCATTTCAAAGTGGAAAATATTGTTTTGGTGTTCAGCTGTACGTCTGACTGGGAAAAGACGTATGTCCTGCTCTGATCCATTCAATAGTGTGCAAAGCTCTTTGTTTCCTGCTTCCTCCCAGAGTTTCTGTAGCATGGCTTTTTTGTTTATTAAAGCCTAGGAGGGCAATGAAATAATATACACAATCATTGAATAGTGTCTATTTTTCATGTAAGAGGTTTCCATCAAAACTTAATTTTCAATGTTAAATTTGGCAATGCATCCCACTGAGCAATGTTTGGAATGTATGCTACAGCAGCACAGAGTAAACAGCATCATCCATACTCCTGTGCAACACAGAATTCCTGCTGGGAGCTCCTTGGTGTCCTAACTGGTGTCTGGGGCACAACACATTACTACTTTATTCTTGGGGTGAGCCCAGCTGCTCCAAGCTGCAGGAAGGAATAAAGCCATTTACTAATTACTGATCTCCTCAGTAAAGAAACAGGAAGGAAACAATTTATCAGGCCCTGCATTTCAAAGTTCAGTGACAGACTAAAGTTCTGACAGCCTCATGGCAGGGAAAAAAGTCAGCTATAGTCCAGTCCTTGGCTGCAAGACAGTCTTCCTCTTTTCTGTTTAATTCAACTTTAGTATAGCACAAGTGAATAATCTGAGAGAAATACAAGCAGTAAGGAGGCTGACTCCACATCCTACTATCTTTAGTTTTACATAAAGTTGTTTTGTATGCATGGTGCATTGATTTCTTTCTTCTTTATTTGAACAATATCCAGTAACTTTTGGGTCTAGAGAAAACCTGTAGATTCTTAACCAGCTTTTTGAGTTTGAAACACATTTCTCAAAATCTGAAGTCTACATGTCTGCTGTTGTTAAGAAAGTCTGATGTAGCTCTTGCTTTTCGTGTCTCTTTTCCAACAGACCAAAATATTTCAACGTCAGTATTAAAATGAAAATCTAAATATATGTTAAGCATAGTTAGATTTCATCTCATCATATGTAAGATTTGCTGGTGATTTCAACCCACATCCCATATCCAGTGAGTGCTTTAACTGTTCACCATGGCTCAGTACTCTGGTTGGGCACACTCAGAGCTTATCTCTGGTACTTAAGGATCTTGGCTCGACTTATCAGTTTGAACTAGGGATCAAAGCCAACGATTTGGCAGCATCATTTCACAGGCAGCTTTACAGACATCCCTGTGCAAGCAGTTGAAGTTTGGAGCTCAGAGTTAGGCAGTAGCTGAGCTCTGCTTTTGGAAAGAGTTGTCAGTTCTAAAGTTGGGTTCCTTGCCTCATTAAGCACTTCAGTGTCTTCTGGGGACGTTCTGTCTCCAGAGTGATCACGTTTTATGACAGCATTTACTCCATTACTGCATGGTACATTTCATCACTGTGCAACAGCAGACGTACCCTTCATTATTCAAACCCTTGACACAAAACTTGTTGACTGCTCTGAAACATTTTCCTTGTCCTTCAGGCTGTGTGAGTTCTCTGTTGAAGGCTGTGCAAGCAGCACACTGCTATTGCCAGTCCCGTTTCTGCAGATCCAGGACGGCGCTAATCGTGTCAGCAGCCTGGCTTTGTGCAACCCTCAGCCTCAGCTGCTGTGCTCTTAACTGAGGGTAATCCAGCCTGCTGAGCTCCTGCAAGCTGAACTGCACATTGCACCCTCAACCTTTTACTGGCTGCCTTAATACAACATTGCAGGGGAGATGGGCTGTAATGCAATTACCTTACAAGAAAAACTGAAGACCTAAAGATGTCTGCCTCTGCAGGGCAGTGAAATGGAAAATAAAGTGTCAGATGTATTACATCATGATTATACTTTAAATTGCTGTTGTCAGCAAAATAGAGAGTTCAGATACTCATTGCCATGCAATAGAACACTTCTGGAGTTCTAAGTAGAAAGTATTTTCACATATAGTGCAGTGGCTTCCCTCTCTTTTCTTCTGAGTTTGTATCAGAATATATTTCTTGATACTGCACAGATATTCCCAGAAAACATGCCTTCAAAAAGCTTCATTGAATAAATCTGTTGACTTCTGCAGTGGATGCTTTGGATAGCATAACTATGATACCTCAGATGTAAGTTTAAAAACTTCCATGAGACAGCATCAATTAAAAATGAACATGTCCATTTTAATACTGATTAAACTACTTACTTTTTTCTACACTGTGGACAAATCAATGTGCAAGTTTTATTTCTAGCTTAAAGTCTCCTTATTTGTTTCTGCAGGGATGAAAGCCCCAGCTCCCTTTCACTGGTATGTGAATTTATGGCCATGACTATTTATGAGCTGATAAAAGGTATGTAGCATATGCTTAAAAAACATGAACTCTCCTTGTGTAGATCACAAAATGAAATTAATTATTTTTCACTTGGTTGTTCACTGTGACAGATTATAGAACTCACAGGGAATCTTGTGTTGTACTGCTTTACCCTTTATTTATGGCCAGTGGAATATACCCAGTTGTTTAAGGCATAGGTAGGTGCAGTCCATAGCCATCTATCCTACAGTCAAACAACCTAGACTGCAAAACACAAAATAATTGTTTTATGTTACAAAAAATAAAATTTAAACAGACTCTTTGTTAGGTCAGGGCGATTGTGAAGTATTAAGAAAAGGATTCCCATTTCTTTCAAAACTATTGAATCAATGAATAAGGATTTTTAGTTTTTATACTTAGTAAAATATTAGTAAAAAGGTTATAAACTTAGTCAGTAAGTTTTCTTTATAAAATAACATTGTTCCCTCATACCTCCTATATTTAAATTTCTGGAGCTGTTTGTCAAAGCAGGTCAGAGATCATAAAGCATAAGGAAGAGTTCCTCCAAAAAATTTAGTACAAACACTGATTTAAAATCAGTTCTTATATAAACAGAACAGAATTGGATACAGCAAATGAAGGGACTTAGAATTCATGAGTAAAAGAGGATTTTTAAAAATGAATAATTAAGAATTTGTAATGTCTTAACACTTGGGAGTTTAATTTAAATAACTGAACATGCAAGTGTCATTCAGTGTAATACAATAAAGACTTGCTCCTGAACATGACATTGGTGACACTGACTATTCAGATCTCTAACAAAAGGAGTAACTCTGTTTCTGACCTAGATAAGAATGTGAGATTAAAATTGAGTTATTTGCTGATTGCTGAAGTAGATTGCTGTACTAGTTTTAATAAGACATTTTGGGTTTGCTATATTTAGCATGGTATTCAGATGGAAATGAGAATCATCATTTCAGTATGTTCTGATTTTTTTTACTATTTAAAAATACAAGTTCTTTCAAAGTTTCCCAGAAGATGATTGTTTTAACACCACTTAGTTATAGTAAACTCTTTTTCTATGCCATGGTGAATCAGTTCAAAATGAAATCTGTTCAATAGTAATCTGAAATGCTGCAGTTACAGATTATTTGAACATTCACCTTGGCTTACCTGAACTTCTCTAAATTGTTGATTCTTCTTTATGGTCTGAATTTTGAGTCTGGACTGTGTTGCCCATGACACAGTGCCTTATTTTTAATGTTGTAAAAGGTAGTGGCACATGGGGTAGAGCTTGTCAAATCATAGAGTATAATAGGAAACTGAACTGAAGTGGACTGAGAATGAATTTTTAATTTGACAAGGAGTATGGAGACACTTTTGTAATTATGGAGAAAGTTCACTGTAATGCTACTAATGTGGAAAGCTGATAGTTTTGTGTTTTTTCCTTAAAAAACAAGAGATCCATGTTACTTCAATCAAGCCTATTTGTCTTTATACAAAGCCATAATTGTCTTGCTGTTAATTTATAGCAGAAGCATTTAATAACTGAAAAAGAATCTTGCCCTTTATTTAATCAACAGTAGCTTGGTAATGTAAAACAATGAAAAAAGTGGCTGAGAGAGAGATGTGGAGGATTTCTCAAGAGAAATGATAGAAGCCTCAAGTGCCACTGCCTTAGGATTCATTGTACCATTGCTGCCAAATAAGGTTTCTCCAGTGATAAATCTGGAAGTAGAAGAGCATCTGCTCCAGATTTTTCTAGTGACATGTAATGAAAAAGCAATTGAGCATGACTTCTTTTTATGAAGGCCCAATTCCTTAAATAAGAATAATAATCTAAATTGATTTAAATAGCTGCATTTTCTAATATCTTTTCACTATAAATGACAAAAGTCCTGATGTTGAAAGCACCATTTATCTCTATGGGGGCACTAGTACTACAATTCCCCATGTAAATGGTGCTCTGTTCCAAGTGCTTTGTGATCTAATCCTGCTCAGTGGATTATGTGGCTGCCTGGAGGAGCACTGTAATCAGCTGGGAACACAAGTCTGGCTCTGGGGCTCTGGCCTCAATGAGTTACTGTCCTGATAATCCCCCTCCTCCTCCCAGCCAATTACTCATACTACTGTCATCACCAGATCAGTACCTGCTTTGTTTTTCAGAAATGTGATCATTTCTGCCTCCCTTGATGGCATTGCAGCGTTACATAAAGGCATTACAGCAAGATTAAAAGGCCTTTGGAGCCTATAAAAGAAAAAAGCTGAGCAGTTACTGAATGGCTCTGAAAAATAGATAAATGTTATAACTGTAATTATTGCCTTACAGGAAGCTAAACAACACAGGTTAGCCTTGAATTTGCAATTCAGATGTGAATCACAGTCTTTTAACCGTGGTGGTAACTTGAGGTGATTGATAGAAATCTTTAACCTGAAGGACAATTACTTTGAGTGGAAAGGAAATGAGATATTTAGAAGAACTGCAATGAAATATTGCAGTTCTGCAAGAACTCGGGGAAAGAGATACTGCAAGTAATACATGCAGTAAAAACTGAGGCATCTTACAGAGTATTGAATTGACAATTGTTAGTGCATACTGAAATATAAATTATGTCAGAAGTCAAGTGGAAAATGAATCACAAAGCTAGCCACAGATTACATATAAAAGAAGGATAATTGAAAAAGGTGATATCAATGCACCTCTGGAAGCAGAAGTCTATGATATTTGTATTCTATTTGTTCTTCACAAAATAGGACTCACACAACTTGAAATTTTATTCCAGGAAGGAGAAAGCTGTTGCCTTAAAAAAAAAACAAACCAGGGACAACATGTAACAGATATGCAAATCTCTAGGTTGTGTATATAGGTTAAAGTCCTGGTTCAGCAACAGCTCTGCAGCAAATGTAGCATACTTTTATTTCAGTCTTCTCTAGGCAGAAACAGAATTGTCTGGGGCAGCCCTGACTGCTGCAGGGAGAGAAAAGGCCCTGGCCCAGATCAATGTCTGCCTGCAGCAGAGCCCTGGGGGGCAGCAGGCAGCCAGAGCTGCTGCCAGCACCCCAAAGGAGCTCTGGTTCCTGCTGAGGAGCCCTCTGGGAGGGATGGCCCTTGCAACCCTCTGGTAGCCCTGGTGAGAGCAGGAGCACAAAGCCTGGCCTCTCCTGCCTGGACTTGCCCATTCCCCATTCCCATATCTGGAGCTGTTGTCTCACCATGATGGCAAAATTTAATTATTTACTGTTATGTTGATAAGTTTGAAAAAAGTGCTGGTTTCTTTTAGTATTTTTTGTTTTTTACAAATAACTGGAAGCACTGATAATGTTTATATTTTTACTGAATTCTTCTCTCTGCTGTGTTTGTATTAGTACAGAAATGGGATATTTCAGAGTGATGAGCAACAAGAAAACATAATAATAAAGGTAATTAAATTTATATGAGGATATTTAACTAAAAGTGATGTATATAAGTATTTTTCTCTTTACCCTGAGAAGGTAATGTTTATTCATGAACAAAGGTACAGTTTTTTAAGAAATATATAGACAGTTACTGTATTCCTGATCTAGGGGAATGAACAAACAATTTTGTTACTGGCTAAAAACTGAAATGACTGAGATGCTTTGCACCCTGTATGTGTTCCCTCCAACCTGAAACCTGTTCTTTATCCTCTGTTAATATGTATTTTCATTTCTGTGTTAATCTAGACACAGGAAATAGAGTTCAGTTTTTCAGCTCTTTCTTTCTACATTCAATTCCTACAGTTAGTGGAAGTCACACAAACAAAAGAGAGCAGAAGATAGTGGCTTTCAGAAGATTTAATTGTAACCATCTCTCTTGACAGTTCCAGAAAGTTATTTTGCTGATGTTTGAAAAGCAAGGATTTTTAAATTCGGTTTATGAAATTTTATTTTCTGAAGATAAATTTTTGAGTCATAGAAGTGTAGAGGAGAAGCCAAAGCCACCTATTACATTACTGCTAAACAGAAGAACTTTAATAACTTAATCTAGATGTCCTATTTAGCAGCCTTTCCTTCTGTGATAGTCCCTATGCTCTTAGACCTTTCTTTTCATGATGTACAGAAAGTATTTGAATTACATCCTATGGACACAGATACCTTCATGCCTGGACCCTACTCACTGTTTTAATGCAGCTTTACTGCTGTGATACTGCCCCTGGATTTTGGAAAGTTTCTTCTTTAAGTCATCTGTGATTTCTTTTACAATGACTATTTTACAGTCATTGCTTGAATATTTTACTGTTTGTAATCTGTGGAAATACTTTATTTATCTCTGCAGCAGAACAGCCTGAAGTTAAGAGAATTTGGATCTTGTAGGAGTATCTGTTCTCAGCAGGCACACAGTACCTCCCCATGCTGGTACTGAGCACCTGAATGTCTGCTTACAAAAGGGCTCTGTAGTTACAGAATTGGCATGTGGAGTCCTGGCTGTGTTTTCTATGAAATCACAAGGTACTGTGTTCAGTGGAGGGTTTTGCTTATCATTAATCAAGATAATCAAAGGTAAATAACTCAAATTAGGAGCATGTGGTTTGGATAATGTGATCTTCGTTTCCATGGATTTGTAGAAGAAGCTTCTGTGCTTAGTGTGCAGGGTTCATGAGGCAGTAATCCCATCTGGTCTGGCACTCCCTTCACCCTGTGGCAGGTTAGTAATAAAGCAGTTCAGGAGAACACAGTACAAACAAAAGTGATTTACAAAGGAACATTTTTGAACATCTTTCCCCAATCACGTAGTATTTAGTAAAAATGTATTTTCTCTGCTTTATCTCTGTGTAGAGTATGGCTCATTTCTTCTCATGAGCATCACAAACTATCCTCAGTCTTGTTAATGCACTTAATGGTAAAATTTTTCCTACTTTTTTTGGACTTTCTAACACTTTCTGCAAAAACAGGAGATTAGAGAATACGCTTCCTCTGATTTACAAATTTGATTTACAGTATAGTGTATCTAAGCCCCCTGTGCTCTTAAGATTTTGTGTGCTGGTATATTTTGAAATCAGGTTCTGATGAAGGAAGAGTTCAGGAAAAAACAAAGTCTTTTAAGATTTTTGGTCATAATGAAACTATAACTTAAAACATTTGTCACTGGTCTTCAAGAAAAAAGCAAAAATACCCACCATGAGTATTTCTCCAATATCTTTGTGCCCTAGCAACAGCAGCAGTTCTTTATTCTCCTCCCACACTGCTGTCTCTGATATGCAACCAGGACTGATAACATTTGCTTTGCTTCTTTCCTCCTCCACATGGCAAGTGCAGCTGCTGCCATCACCATCACATTAAATGACAACCATTATGCTTTGCCTGCTAACTTGTAGAAACATTTCTACTTCTCCAGCCAGAAAACTGTTAAAAGAAAAATCCCAAATGTGGCAGTACTCTTGCAAAGTAAATTGGGACCAAAAGCTTTAAGAATGCCTCGTTTTTTCACTTCAGCTTGAATCAGCTGGGCTTTGTAGCTTTGTAAGAAAATTACATGCTGCAAACTTAAGTTTTCTTAGGGAAAACCCCCAAACTTTAAAGATATTTCCTTGTAGTTTTAGCTTAATGTAAAAAAATCCACTCTTTGCAACCACTGAAGGTTTTCAGAGATCTTACAGGTGTGTTCAGAGAGGAAGGAGGGATGTTTATTGAAATAAATGAATTACAAGAGATACAGTCTTGCCAAACTGAAGGCAATTATGGACAGGCCTGTTTCTTTTTCAGTGCCTCCTGCAGTTATTGCTGTTGAATGGTTGCATAAGCCTTTATGCTTTACAGCACATTGTGTAAGAACTTTTAGTCTTTTATTCAGCCATGCTGATCTTTCAAATCTTGTTTCCCTTTCTGTTCCCTATAAATCATGATTCCTGGATCACACTTTTCAGTGGCTTGCACAGTTGTTCTTGAATTTGTTACAGTTTTACATTTGACAGCAGCACATTTTTTAGTTCACACAGAAACTCGTCCCAGCTGCATGTCTTGGTGCAGCTGCTCAATGTGAATCAGATCTTTTTTCTCCTTCCTCTAAGCTTTATGAGGACACTCAGAGCAGTGTGCAGCCAGCTGTTTGATTGAATTTGCAAACAGTTAAAAAGAAGTTTCTCGTGTCTACAAAGGGGCTGAGTGTTTTGCTTTCAAGAGTCATGTGGTGCTACTGAAGTGTTTCTTGAATTATAAGCCCAAAGAAAAAAGCAACAAGTGCAGGAAATGTTACTGGACCCGACTGAAGTCAGATTGCTCTAATATGATCACAATGTTTCAAGGACTCTGCAAGTTTTATATTAACTGAGGATCAAGCTCAGGAATGCAGTTCAATTTACCATGTTTCCAGTATTGCTGCTTGCAAAGAACCTGTGTGTTAGGAATGGAGTGTTATAAATACATTTCTGTGTGCATACACAGCAAGAGAGACTGCTTGATTCTGCTGGCTTAAAATGAGGAGAATACATTGTCTTCTAGGATCTGCCACTTTACTAGAAGCAAACACGATTCCAGATCCATTGTCCTTCACCACAAAGGATGATCTCTTTACATATTTTTCCCCAAACCAGCAGGAGAAGGCAGCTACAGACTTCTGTTTAATAACCCAAGCTACTCCTTCAATGCAAACCAGCAGCTGTGTTGCTCTGCTGCTCACTTTATCCTCCAGTTGTTGATAGGTATTAAGCTGTCCAAAAATGAATAATTCTATCATGTTATCTTTCTCACAAAAAAAGGGGTTTTTTAATCAAAAGTGATAGTTCAACTGTGTCTTGTCTAGTACTAATACCATCTCTTACCTTGCAGTTTCCAGTCTCTTTTTCTTGGATATAATGAGCTGGACCACATCTCAAAAATCCATGAAGTGATAGGCACTCCTGGTAACAAAACTCCAAAAGTTCAAGCAGTAAGTATGCACTCCCATAGCTACTAATCTCACTGTTTCAGTGTCCACAATGGAGCTGTACAGCTGTGTGCAATTTCTGCTCAGGAAACCACCACAAAAACCTAAATCTGTTGTGCTGACACAAGAGCAGTTTCTGCTGTCCCTGCCCAGAGACAGTCACCCATTCCTGAACCTTAAAGGCAGAGCAGAGGAAATCTGAACCTGTCTTCATCTTATCTGGCCTTTTATTTCCATAGTGTCTTTAAGGCCAGTGACATAAATTTTTAGGAAAGAAAAGGGTTTTTTTCAAGTACTACTTACTTTTCTCTAATGAATGATTACCTAAATCAGGTGAATTATTTCTTTTCAGTGAATTGTAATCCTCCCTGAATATGCATGATTAAATGTTTTTCTCAGCTTGCTTAACACAGGTCAAGAATTTTGAGTTTTGAATCCTCCCTTTAAAGAAAGGGAAAGTCTTTTCTTGTGCACAGATTGCCTTTTAAAAGTTTCTGTTTCCTATGTGCAATGATAAAATATGACCTCAATGAGAGAACTGCTGCCCATCAAACCTTACAGCACCCTTATTTTCAGGAACTCTGGCAAGTGACTTCAATCACTTCAGTTTTGAAGACTAAAGTCAAAAGGTGAGGGGAGCATTGTGTCCATGTTTTAAGTGGCATGAAATTAAATTTGTTTCCTGTGCCATGTCTTGTCAACCATGAACATAATTCAGTCAACATAGTTCTTTGCATTGAGTCCAAAGCTTACCTAAAGCACTACTGACTCTATTCTTTTTGCCCCCACCTTTTTAAGACAGCCAATACATGAGCTTTAACTGTGCACAAAAAATTAAGAGTAGTAGGAAATATGTCAGGGCAAGTACCTCAGGATTTGTGGCAAATTTCAAAAGCAAGTCCAAGACAGGTAGTATTTAAGTGGAAGAACTGTCAGCCCATTTAGAGAAAGTAATTTGTAGCACTGAGCTTGTTAGCTAGAAACAAATGTTTTACTTAAGCTGATTACTTGGGTTTATTCTGTCTGCCTAAACACAGATCTTTATTTGGTCTGATGCAGTTCCCCCTCCCCCCAAATCCCTGACATACACGAGTTAGAATTTAGAAGCTCTCATATCTCATAATCCCCTCAGTAGATTCTTGTTAGAGTTGCTGTTACTTAAAGGGTCAGCTCCACCTTTATTTTCAAATATCATCATCCTGTTTTTGATGTCTGCCTTAAGTTAAAAAGTTTTCCAGATGAAGTGTGGCAGAGACAGGAATTATGCTTTTGCCTTTTCAGGGCTTCAGTCTACTTTTTGAGCAAATAAAATATTTTTTTAAAAAAACTTAATTATCATGAATACAGATGATATCAGGGAAAATTCTAAATGTGTATTTGACATGAAATAATAAATAATTAAATTCTGATAACAAATTCTGGCCAACTAAAACTTTGTTTATACATCAGCTATGTGAAAAATTCTCTGTGTATTCACTTGCTGTATCAACAAGGTGAGGTGGAAGTTAGTACCACACAGAAAACTCAAATACAGGTTTTTCTCAAAAAACCCTCAAAAACTTCCACAAACTAGCAAAGAATAATTATAAATTATTTTCTGCTGTACATTCAGCTTTGAAAGCATGAACTCTCCTTCTACAGGAGAAGCCATTTTTCCCACAAATTTAGTTCTGGGATTCATCAGTGTAGGTTTTCTAAGAAGTTCCTTTAGGCAAGATTTCAAGAAACATCATGTAAGGCAAATAATTTTTAAAAAGGAACAAGGTGAAGTTGTAATTGGCTGAGGGTTTTTTAATTTCTGATTATTTGGGGTTTCTTTTCTAATTGTATTCCTTAAGATGTTCTCAGAAAGAAATTGAATCTTGTTTATTTATTTTAAAAGCATTCTCTCAGGAAAGTCTAGGGAAAAAAATCAACAACTTCGGTCTCCACTGGGAGAATTACCAAAATTAATTTTTCTGGAGTGGCCAAATTGATTTCCTTTCCGACTCCTACATTGCTTTCAGTTTTCTGGAAACCTAAGGAAGGTGGTGGAACCCCTGTGTTCCAGTCTGTCAGATTTACTGGATCAAATACTGAGGTGTAGACTCTCACTTGCCCACTGAAGCACATTTGAAACTTCTGTTGTTTCTTCAACAGTCTGAGAAACAGAAGGCACTTCAGTCTTCCCTGAAACATTTCCATTTGACTGCTATAGAAGGAATAGAAGTGAGAGAGACCCAGTCATGCTTCTCTTGTTAGAGATCTAACAAGAACAGCAGTGCCTGATTTTCTTGCTCTGACAATTTGCAGGAAAACCCCACAAGGTTTGAGGGCTGGTTTCCTACCATTTTGATATTATGTTCCTGAAGGGGATCAATATTTAATTGAAGCATTGTTCTGGCAGAGCACAGAGAGTGTTCTGCATTGAACTTCCTCAGTACTTGTTCCTTTTAGAACCTGATGGAGGAGGAGGTTGGTTAAAAATAACATGAAAGGATTCTTTGAGTTCAAGTATTAGGAATGGAATGTTATCTACAGAATTTAAGTTTTCAAATTGTATTACAAATGACAGCTAACTGCTGTATTTTTTTTAGATTTAAGAGTTTGGGGTTTTTTCAGTTAGCTCTGGAAATTATTCCTCTCCTGTACTCAGTAACTTCCACCTCAGGTTTTACTGAGAATGTGCAAATTTTGCAATCATATGAGATACCTGATTTTAATGCAGTTTCTGTAACTGCTGAATATTTTTATGTAACTATAATCTAATTCAAAGCTAAACCAACTTTTTGCTGATTCAAAAGCAAGCAAAACTTAGCCACAGTTTGCTCCAAGCCATTGATCTTAACATTAATCAAAAGTCTTAACAGGGACTGATGTTGCAGCCAGTTGCGTAAAAGAGCAGTAAAAGCACATAGCTGAGAATGCATCAGAAATCTGGCACACAGATCACCAGCAACAATTTAACAGAATATTTCCTATCATTAAATAAGGTGAGAGTTAAAAGGCAATATTCTTAACTTACTAGGAAAGAATCTTTATTCCAGATTGATACCATTGATTTTTAAATTCCTGAGATCTAAAACTTGCATTAAATAATTTCTAATACATAAATTTGGTGATGTGTTAGAGAACATTCTCTTAGTTAGAAAATGAAAGTCTGTGCAAGTCATACTTGGCTGGGGGTTAAAAATCTTCTCCCTACCAAGTGTGCATGCAAGACAGGTTTGGCAAATAACCTTTCTGGAGGTTTTAATAGTTATAAGAGTTACTCTGCTCATAACTGGGAAGTGATCATCAATTTTTTCCATAACCAAACACTGGGCTCTGGTGCTGCTGCTCAAAACCCCAGCCATGAGCAGGAGGCAAAGGGCATTTTGTGTGAGAGGTACTGCTGCAGGGAGCACTGTGGAAAATGGGGCACTGGGGAGGAGCACATCACATCCAAGTGTCACTCAGCCAACCCTTAGGCATCAACCTGAGATTTGTGCTCTAGATCCAGACCATTTATTTTAACCAATTAAGATACACAAGGCAGTAAAATACAGGTTAACATAAAGATCTTGTAAGAGTAAAAATTAAGCTTGTTACATTCTTAGCTCTCCTCCTGAGACTCCACAGGGCTGTGCATTTGTGAAAATCATTATTCTTCTCACTCATTTGAGCTCTTCCAGTTAGTAGGCTTTTTGCTGTGGTTTGGTTGTTTTTGTAAGAAGAGGCATCTCAACACTTGTAGGGCTCTGTTGTGACTGGACTAGATCCTAATCCTTGTTCAGGTCAACTCTGGACAACTTCAAGCATGCCCAAATTCAACATTGTAGCTTTTCTGTGTGGAAGCTCATGAGACTCAAGTTCTTTATGAATCCTTTTGATATCTACTGCTTAAAAACAGTTGTCTAACTTATGTTTGTCTTCATGTTTAGAAGATGGTATTATTATCACATACTGTACTAAGGATCAATCTGACATTTATAAAGAGATTCTTGAAAATGTAAAAATAGTCACAGGGTAAATGCGGTGCAGACTGTGGGAGTATTTGATATTGATTCAAATTTGACTATCCAAGTTAAATATCCTGCACCACCTGCATCATGTACCATTGCTCAATTTATGTCATTTCTTCATAGCAAACTTTCAGAATCTCAACAGCAAGAATGGAAAAAACATCCCAGCCTTGGCAAGAACTTGTATAGAGAAGACTAAAGCACTTGAACAAGGCTCTGCAGGGAAACCTCTATTGCTGCTGCTTGCACTAGGTGTGCCAAAGGAAGGGCAGATTTCTCTTACTGGGACTGAACAAATACATGAGTTTTGGTGGAGGAAATGCTTTACACCAGTAAAGTGAGAAAACTGTAACAAGGGGAAACAGCAGAACACAAGGGTACAGCTAACTGCTCCTTGTCATGTTATTGAAACTCCTACTGCATGGATGCCGCTTTCCTCCTGTTCCAAGCAAAAAATGTTCTCCTGAACACAGTATCTCCAAGTAGAGTGACTGGCTGAGGTTTCCTGCTCTGTTACATTTCAGTGAATCATCTCCCCACATCTGTATGCTTTCATGTTAGCAGCTCATACTGATAGAACAGAGAACTTCAACAATAACGCAATACATTATTTGTCTGAATACTTAGCACAGGGACTTTTTATAGACAGACAGATTAGATAGATATGTGAAAAGTATGATGCTACACTTAGAAAATGAAATTAAGGACTGCAGGTCTGTAGGCAGGCAACACAGTGCAACAGTAACCTCCAAATTCTTACCTTTGGAACACTGAACAAAAGGTGCCATGAGCTTATCCAGTGTTTTTTCCAGAGAGGAAGATGGTGAGTTGCTCAGTGCTGATATATTTGGAGTTGAGCATAATGAGTAGCATTAAAATTGATGGTCTAAAAATAGGTAACTAACTGGATCCAAGGGAGCTCACTCTCCAGTGTTTTTAAATTCTTACAAAAAGAGAGGACAAATCCTACTACCCACATTTGATGGATTGTTCTGACTCAGATCTCCCTTACCTAGCACTATACAGGGGTCAAAGCTCAGATTATCAAAACTATATTCCTGATGGAGATAATTTATTGTATTTGTTGCTTCCCATAATCAGTTTCTGGAAGCCTCAAATCACAGATCCTGAAGTTTAAGTATTTTGACTAAAAAATATAAAATTTGATCAAACTGTGTTTGGACAAGGTACTTTTCTGAATTCAAAAGTGTTATTGCCACTGTTTGCTTCCCTCGTTAATATATCAGGTAGGTGATTATTCATACACCAGGAAAAAGATGAAGTCAGAATTTTTGTAAGTTTTAACCAGGAAAAAAAGGCCTACCAGAACATCATCTTATGTATTATGACATTCTGTGTATCTGGGGCTGTCCCCAGATTCTGTGGGGAGAATGAGAATGATTCTGGTTGTAATGAGAATGGCAATTTAATGTTCAACACATCATTTTTGCTATAAAATTGCAAATCTGAAGTGAAGAACCATATTGGAATTTTATTCATGTTTTTTATACTTTCAGGTGGATCTTACTCAGTTTGGCACATACAGTACTTCAAGGATATTGATTTCCTAGCAAGTTCCTTGCTGTTAAACCTCTGGAGACAACTTACACTTCTCTGGCTGTTGGATGAATAGGCAAACTTGAGTTTTCCCACCTGCTTTATAGTTAAAATGTACCCAAACTTTAAACTACAAACTGGCAAGTATAGCTCCTACCCTCATTCTTCCAGCTAAAATTCCATACTGAGATTATCTGTGTTCTGCTCACTTTTAATTATTTTTTTAATGTAGTAGGAGAAATATTTTTATTAAAAGCTGTATCTACAGCAGAGGTCTTAAGTTCCTTCCAGGTAAGTTATTAGCACCCTGTTTCTTAATAAAATAATTTTCTACCATATGGAATAGAGTGTGGTATGGGCAATTCAAGTTTCTAGATGATTGCTATTGATGATAATTTCTTTCTTCTTTACTATTGATGATAATAGTAAAGAAGAGGCTGAGAAAAGAAAATCCCCCCACATACCTTGTGTGCTGCTGGACTACAATTTGTGGCAGGGAATGTCCCTGCCAACCCAGATGTGAGTAGCTGCTGCTGTTCCCCTGGTGTTGGATATTGCAATTCTTTCCCTACTGGTTTTGTATTTTTCCAGCTGAAGGAAAAAATCTTTTAAAGTTACTGCATATTTTTTCAACTGTTCCATTTTGACTCAGTCCATGTGAAGCAGTTATCTACAAGAAGTCTATGGGGAGATAACTACACTAGTTTTCAGTGATGAGGTTTATCTGTATTTTAACAGTTAAGCCCACTATGTTAATAAAACAAAACTTCTGAAAAATAATCCTGCTCAGTTTCAGTATTTTCCCCATTCCTCGTATTTTAGAAGAAGACAGATAAGAATTGTAAAGCACAGCTACATCTTGAATAAAGTAGGGAACTAATTCCCAGCTTATAAATGGATCTGGCAGTTCTCTACATGCTGGCTGCATTGCAAGGATGAGACTTAGTTACAAGCTACTGCAGTTGCTTCTCCCCAAATGTTCATTCATTTCCTGAAAACAAATTGCTTTTCATGCCAGAAAATGTCTTAAGTTTACTTGTAATTATAAAAATGCTACCCAGCTTTATTGTTGGAGAGCAGGAAGTGCATTAACTTGTGCCCACAGCTGCAGTATGCGCACCCTCAGGCAAGTTCATGCTTCTGGGCCAGCAGCCTCTGCTCTACTGTGCCTGCAGGATTCTGCAAATCCCAGTGGTGAACGTTTCTGCATAAGAAAAAGGGAAGCATATGATGGATACTTCTATTCTCTGTCAGTCTGGGGCTGGACATGGACTGTTAGTCTTTGCAAGAACTACTGAAAACAAGTTAAGTGGTGTGCTGACTGATTAAAAATGACAAGTGTTTAGACAAGCAACATTAACCTCTGCAAATCCATGGATACGTCTATCCCCATCACACTTATCAGTTTAGGACCACTGAATTATAAATGAGATGCCTGATGTAAGAGAAATGAGCCTCAGAAATGCTACTCCAATATGTTAGCCCAGTTTCTGATTGACAAGTCAGGAAGTGTGTACAGCCACTGCTGTGGGATCTTCCACTTCCCAACTCCAAATGCACGGGACTACACGGTGACAAAATCCTTACCCCATGAAGCTGCCTGTCTGTGGAGTTGCTGCTGTATGATGTATTTAAACTGCAGGATGTGTTTGGAGATAAGCCATTAAGAACAAGAACAGAACAATTGTATTTCACTTTCCTAATTGAAATTCAAGTCCATTAAATATGAAGCAATGTTCTAGGTAAGATATTTTTGAAAGGAATTTGTTCTACAAAGTTTAGATAGTATTTCTGTACCAAACATTTAATTCAGCAAAGAATTGGTTACATCAAAAGTGATTGGATTTGAACAGAAAGTAAACAGAAATGCATATTCAAGATAGTTTAATATGTATTTTCTGAATTAGAAATATCACTTTCTTAAATGAATGAGAATTTCTAGTGTAATGATCCATTACTCCCATCCCCCATCACTGAATTACATTATTTATACATATAATACAGAGCCGATTGCAGTTGGAAACAACAATATTAAAATAAATGTTTAATAGATACAAAGGATCTTTTCTCCACAACATAGTTTTTCTGGTGTCTGGACACCAATTTTAAAGTAATTCTCTATAAGCATTAAACTATTTAAGTGCAAAACAATTTTGTTTTAAAAAAATCTATGATTGCAGCATCCATCTTCCTGAAAAACATTTTGAAGCCAGAAAGTAATGACTTTCATTTTCCATGAGTGCATTCCAGGCTGTCTTCTAGCCATCTCTGGTTAAAAAAATCAGTGCAAAATAAACAATGGTGAAGTACTAGTTTAACCATTGAACTTACTTGAATTTAAGAAACATATCTTATTTTACACTATATATATATATATATATATATCTTTTATTTATATATTTATAGAGATTAAATTACACTGGACTTGAAAAGTATAAAGAAAACAAAAATGTTACTACTTTTTCCTGCAATACTAAAGGAAGCTTTTTGCTTTTACTCCAATGCAAACTCTTCCTTGGGTGAGCAGCCTAGCAGGATCAGCTGTAGTGAGAACTCCTTACATTTGTCCTTTGCAAGTCACTATGTGATTCACATAATTCCATGTTTACACTCTGCCACATTATAATTTGTGATGCTCTTTGCCTGAAGAACAGCTCGTGGTTCCACTGTCATTACTTCTTGTCCTGCGTTCAGAGATTTGCTAGCAGTAGTGTGATGGCTATACTACAGTTCCACTTGGAGAATTGGCCTGGTTTTGGGATGACAATAAACCCTGCAAACAAAGCAGTTTACATTAATCCAGCAAGAGAACCTGACATGAATTTTATAAAGTTCTTAACCTCAACCTACAATGAGTACAGTTGATTTTTACCAACACTTGTTTATTACTTCAGACATCAGCACCTTCCCTCCTACAAAGGCTCTAAGGCAGCAGCACGGTCTCAGGCAAGCAGCGCACAGAGAGCTCTCAGACAGGCAGAAACGTGTGCGTTGTGACACGGAATGGATCTGATCCCAGCATTTGGTTTAATCTACCTTGCACTTGGAGTCATAGTGAACTCTGAAACTTTAATAATCATACACCAAAAATGTGAACAGCATTTTACTGAGGTGGTGTCAAAAAAAATCTATTGCAATATCAATGTTTGACACCTGACCTGATACAGGGAAACACTTCATCTCTTGTATGTGATTGAGTATTACAAGGTTTGAATAGAAAAATAGATTGTCTAACCAAATATTTGTATTGGTAATTTTAAAACAGAATTAAACACTGACAAGAGTTCAGTAGAGATTTCCTATTATAATTTAAGTTAACACTCAGGAAAACTTGGTACCAGCTCTTCCAACTACCCTGCCATTCAAATCTTGTTTCACACACAGCCCTACAACTGCACAGTGCCCCTCACCACACAGAGGCTGCTGCTCTGGATTAAAGCAACTTCACCTTACAGATCAAACCTCTGGGTACCAATGGACAGATTCCATTTCAGATTAATGCACAGTAACCACTTTTTAATAATTCACATAAAATAACTATCAGGCTTATTCAGGAAAAGCTTATTGTCAAAATACAATTTAGCCTTATAAGGTCATTAGTTCTACTGAGTGCCAGCAGGCCAAGGGGCATGCTGGCAGCTGGAAGCACACTGGCAGCTGGAAGCACACCAGCAAATATCCCCATGCAACTCCTCACCTTGTAGGAATGATAAATGCACTTTCAGCAACTCCTCTAAGCAGCTCCCAGCTTATGTTCTTACCTCAAAATTAAGATCCTGGGACTCAGATCCATCAAACTAGACAAGATCAGGCAGCAGTTAGCATACAGACAGAAGACAGAATTATGTCACTTCTTCAGAATCTACAGGAGCTCTTTCAAACTTGGATCCAAGAACTGAGAGGTCATGATGATGGAAGTAAACCCTGACCTCAGAAGAAGTGGAAAGAGGGGAAAGAGGGCAAGACTGACTGGATTCAAGTCATCAAATTTCTGCTCAAATCAAAGCCCTTCTTTTTAAAAAAAACATTGATCATTTCAGACACGTCATGAACCTGAGTAGTTTGCAGGATTTCTGGCAGACTGTATTTGCATATGGTCCATATGACATTTATATATAACAAAGCACATGGAACTTAACCTGGTGCCTTCCATAGACCTCACCTGAAAGAACCTGAAAAACACCTTTATTTGTATTTCTTTATGCAGGGAATATCTGATTGAAACACTGTTGAGGTAGACTGAAGTGGGTTGTTCTCTACACTTGACATTCAGGATGTACAAAGATCCTGCATATTTCATGAGAACAAAAAGTTTCCTAGTTATTACTTATGGACTAGATGGTGAAAGAAGTAATAGGCAGAACTTTAGAGCAAACAAGCCACTGAAGCACTTCTGAAATTTTTACCAGGGAAGTTTTGTTGGAAAGTGACAAGGTTGAATCAGAATTCACTAGTTCATTACTGAAGCATTCTTCACAAGTCTATTAAATCCAGCAGCAACTGGAAGGTCTTTCTTGTCAGAAGATTACATCCACTAAGCAACTCTGAAGTACCCTGGAAAAAGACGTCCAAAGGTATTATTTTCAGTCTTAATTAAATCAGCAATCCAAACTGTTCATATGCAAATATGTGCTTTATAAGCACACAGGAAGCTCTAGGGATGGCATAATGTCAAGTCTTTTTCAACAGGCTCATAACCACCCTATACAGGAGAAATAAGGCATATTCTAGCATTGGATTTACATTGTAACACAAACAATTATTGGGAAACAAAATGAAGTTATTTTCCTAGGATTCCTTTAAAAACTGGCAGCACATACTGAAATTCAGTGTGGTGCCTTATTCCCTGTGAACTACCAGCCACTCCAGAATGCAAGTTCCAAGACTAGGAACAAGGAGTCAGTCCTGGTTACACCTCATAGGTGGTGAATGCTCCCTGCTTTGAAGAGCAGCAGCTCAGTGCAGATGGCTTTCAGTGAGTACCAGGAATTCCTTGTATTTCAGTCCTTGCTCTGAATTAATTCTGCAGCTCTGAGCAGGCAAGCCAGAGGAACACTGAAGTGGAAATAACCTCAAGACCAATATTCCTTGTGCTTCTGCAGATGGAACAAATGTATGCAAGTACTGCCTTAAAACTTGGACTAGGCTATGATGCTGTTCAGAAACTCACTCCCAGGGGAGAGACCAGAAAGTTTGTGAGTTCTTGCAAGTACTTGATTTCAGAAGACATCTTAAATGTTCATACAAGAAAAGCAGAGTATGAATTTGGTTTTTAGGCACATAAGTTTCACCAAGGTGGTGAGTTCTCAGTGGGTCCAGATTAAAACAAAAATTCTGCAGCATTTTGCCATTGGATCAGAGCCTCCAAGCAAGGCTATTCACAAGGTTGTGTGCAGTGTAACACAGTACATGGAGGAAAACAACCTAAGAAAAGCAAGTGAGGGCTCAAATAAAGTTACTGTTTTGATACAAAAGTTCTCAGTAAATCTCATCTGTGATACAAAGGGTGTGGGATTTGACAACAACTACAACTGACAACAGTTGTAGTTGTATTCTCTGGAAGAACAGGATGGGTAAGGTAATGAAAAAATATAAAAAGCTCCTGCCTGTAAAGAAAGAAGAAAGCCATTAGAGTGTGGTGCTTTCTGTGATGGAACCACCCAGTCTATCAGGTGGGAAAAGATGAAACAAAAGCTGGAGCAACTTATTAGAGCAACAGCCAAGTGAGCCTGTTTAACAGCTGTGCCAGGAATCATGGAAGAGCAGAGCCACAGCTGCAGCCCTGCCGTGTGGTGCAGCAGCTTCAGGCTTAAGGACAAACAGATCCCACTGAGCAAGCAGCAGGAACAAATTAAGACACTGCTCAAAGTTTTGTAAATAAATGTAGTGTTTTATTAGCAGTTGTATTTTGTCAGCATATGAGTAGCAGGCGTGGGAAATGGAAGAGTTATGAGCTCCAAGACAGGAATTTAGTAAAACAATATTCATCCCACCCTCAGAGGTAGCTGCTGTCATCTCAATGGGACACTCCACAGCTGAGCAATGCAGCTCTCAGAGGATGGGGTCATTTTTCCTAAGTCAGTCACTGCTGTGAGTATTGAACACAGGCTGCTTCAGCTCTAGCTGCTAGGGCTATCCTGTTTATCCATGCATTCTCTGACTTCCTGAAACACACAGGACTTTGCACATCTGGTAAAAATACGCTGGCATGGGTAGGAATGAAAAGCCATAACATGTACAATCAGGAAAGCCATTTGCACCCAAGGTTGTGGCACTCATCTGCTGGGGTCTGTTCACTGCAGCAGCACAAACACAAACCCTCCTCCTCCTTTATGGGATTGTGAGGAGAGGGGTGGGTATATTTTTAAAAATTCCACATACAATCCAGACAAAAGTCTGGGGCTTTTTTCCAAAGACATGAAACATAATGTTTCACAAGAGAAAAAAATTCCATGAAAGATCAGCATGTAATTGCTGTGTTAAAAAAAAAAAAACAAAAAAACCCAGGAAGATACTGCAATATTAAGTAGGAAAATAGTAAACAGTAGCCACTGAGTTAATATTTTCTTAATTTAAATTAGAAGCTGTTTAATTGGAGCCAAAGGTGCAATCATACACAGTTTCACTAATCTAGATAATAAACAGCAAGTTTGGACATGCAAGCACGATCCAGAAAGTGCATGTCTCCTTCAGGGAAACAGCTCTGCTGGCACTCAGAAAATGCTGGATGTCAAACTCTGCTCATCTTTCTACTTTCTGGTTTGAAATTGAAAGGTAGAAAAAATAAAGGGTCCAACATAACAAGCAATCCAATGTAAAAAAAAAGAAGTCTCATAGTACACTTCACTAATGCAATTAAACCAATTAAAATATGGCTGAATTAACAAATGCGCATACAAGAATGGTAGTGGTTTGTTAAACCATTTCTACTATTGCCAGTATGTAAAATAATGGGAAGTTATTATTTGAAAAATACTCCAGGAGTAGTTTATTCTTGTCCAGAACGGTGATATTCCTGGAGTAATTAGGGTTACTACATAACTGGAGTTACAAAGTATTGTGGACTGAAGCTTTGCTTGAGAACAGAGCCCATGGTCCATTACGGTGTTTGAGCAATAAGATACAAAAACCAAAGTGAGATTTCTCACATTTGTTTAAAATTCTGTAGGTAAATTAGCTGCACTGGTTTTAAGACTTGCATGAACAATATCGTCAAGTTCTTTATCCAAAGAATAAGTGTTTAACAGCAAAAGATTCTGAACTGCATATACTCACTAAATCACATATTAATCTCTAATGGAGTAATAAAATTAATTTATTAAAAATGCTCAGGAAAGCACATGTTGTTCCTTCACATAACATGCTACAGAGAAATATTCTGTATGGGATTTAGGGGATAGAGCAAAGCTGATGCCTGTCTTTACACAGTTTGTGTGTTCACTTTTAAATTTGTAATCCATTTGCCTTTTTTTCTCGATTCTGATAACATTACACAAAAGTATAAATACATAAACCATTTGACACCAGACCTTATAAAAAGACTGTAGCACCTTTAGGGTTTCACTTGCAACTTCTCTTCTGTGTATATAAAGGAGTTTCTCTTAACAGAGGTCACTGTCAACAAAAAAAAATTCAAATTCAAGGCTGGTAGAAAACCATCAGTAACTAAAAATCTGTCCAGTGGCGCTAGGTGAATGGAAGATATGCAGGTCCAAGAGGAAAAAAAAACTAAGATGCAACTACTTGGGTGCTTGAAAATGCAAAAAGGCTTTTGCCAGCAGAAGCCTGACCTGGGCTCAAAAAATAGGACCTTAAGCTACATTCAAGTACTAAGGGCTCACAGGCTTATAAACTGTTGTTTCTCTACTTTCCTCGAACTACAAAAGTCGTAAGGTGTAAAATTTTCGGTTTAGAAAATAATGAAATTGAGATAAACCAGGGAAAACATCAGGGAAAAGCATATAACTTAAGGCAACCCCACATGAGTTAGCCATAAAGTGACTGTGGTCTTAGAAGAAAGGAGCCAAATGAGTTTGATAAGGTTGAGCAGCACCTACCTAAAATCCAGCTTCAAAACCCAGAAAATAACATTGTCTTAAAAGTTATTTCCTTGAGAAGCTTGTGCAACGTTATTAAAGGCAAGTAAAATGACACCTTCATGTTTCAAGACATTTTGCCAAATACCTTCTCTAACCAGAAAACCTGTGGAAGCTGGGTTTTGTTTCAGGCTCACACTGACTATTGGGAAACTGGTATGACCTACCAGTTCTTGCATCATTTGATATAAATGGATGTTCCAGAAGCATTCAAGCAGATTTCATTTTTTCTTTCACTAGCCCCTGTTCTTAAATATGCATCAATGTTCTATGTATAGAACATCACAATGGTCAGTCAATACCTTGGAAGTACCACAAAGTTCTCAAGTTTACTTAAGATGATCGCCTCAGCTTTAGTCTACAGAATATTTTTGCATAAGAGACAAACGAGTCCTCCCTGTCAGACTGGACCCAAAGTAACTCACTTTTACACTGAAATTCCTCAAAAATGCCTCTGAAACACTTCAGTAAATAGCATTTGTTTGGCTTTTCTTTGTTAACAAAGAATCACTGCTGCAAAGGTGAGACAATGCCTAACCCCTCAAAAGGAAGGGCAACATCTGAAGTCTTCACCTAAATTTGCTCCAAGAAATTTTGCAAAGTTTTAGTCTAGTTTATTTTAGTTCAGATGAGTTTCATCCTAGACTATTTTCTCCTAGGCAGAAAATGCTTGAATCACCTGTATGAGCCATATCCTCGGGGCTGTAAATTCAGCAATCATTAGGCAAACACCAAGATCTAAAGCTGGAATAAAGAACATACCCTGCACCAGAGTCCACAGAGGAAAGAGCTCCTGTAGAGTCCTAGAAGGAATGACGACACTCTGCCCCAGCTCCTGCCGGACAGGTGTGCAGAGAGAATCTAGAGACAGCCATGTCTGTGTTCTGCTGAATCTGAGTTTAAACAAGTTTGAAAAGTGGTTTGGTAAGTATTCTGTTTCATGTTACTCTAGTCCTAAAAAAATTAGCTACCTTGAGTCATGACCTTATCAGCAAGCTTTAAACATCAAAACATCTGCATAGTCTTGAGATGAAACATTTTCTCAGAGCAGGTTACAGATGTGATCAACTTCTTACTTTAAAGCATGGCAAGTTAACAGTTTCATTGTGGCCATTTGTTCAGCACAGTGTGAGAGCATAAGACCACCTAAGCACTGCAAGATAAATTAAAACTCAAATGTGGAAAGGACTATTGAAAGTTATCTACATTTACAGTTCAATCACACATTTTTATTTAACATCAGTATACAGAGGACAACCCCAGCAAGTTATTTTGTAATGTCAAGTATTTAGTAAAGTTCTTCAGCTGTAACAGTGACAATAGAACAGCTAAAAATAAGCAGTATGAAACAAACATGATCTTCTTAAAATTATAAATATACCAACAATACTTCTTAAAGCTTAATTATTGCAACAGTTAAATTAACAATAGTTCATGTTAGAAAGGCTCTATGAAATTTATTCAAGTTGTCAAGAAATTAGATGGAAGTGTAAAAAGGAAATACATATGAATTTTACTTTTGATTTTCACTAAAGGTAGTCAATACAATTTTGTACAGTATCACCTAACATGTCAATCTTTAACAAACTCCAGTATACAGAATCATAAAATGCAGAAAAAATAGTTTAATCTTTACATGTAAATTGACAGTAAATTAACTGACACAAATTTTATTATTGTAACATAAGCAGGCCAGCAATTTAAATATTAATTTAGTAGTTTTATGTTGTTAAAGGGGCCGACATATACAGTCATTCCAAGTACATACTCAAATTTTAAGAGGTGATAATTCAGAACATGGGTTTTCTAGAAAGTGTTTAGTAAAAGTCATGTTATTTCCTAATCCAGACATCCTCATCATAATGCCTTTACAGGGTTATGATCTCTCCTGGCTGTACTGGAGCCACTTGTCACACCTCCTCACACACGCACACACACATACCTTGCTATAAATATCACACCAGTGTACTCTAGGTTTAATTCACCCTGATAATGTGGGTATGCCATGTGCAACTTTGCTATTGTGCACATTACAGAAAGCTTCAAATTTTAGCATGGTAACCTGAAGTTGTATAGCTGTGTTTCAGTTTAACTATAATCATCCCTGAAGTTTATACAGATACCGTATCAAGTTGAAAGAAATCTATTTGATAGTACTTAAATACCAGCAATTGAACTTCAATTGTAATGATGAAATGCTCCTTTCCACTGAGGAAGAATTAGTATGTATAGCTGCTTGTCTCACTCAAATATAGTACATGAATGTTAAGTACTTTCACTAAAACAGAAGCCATACTAAAACATGATACTGTACTACAATTGTAGTTAACTAGAAAATTCAAGGATGTTATAATTTAAGTCTAAGTTTTCCTGTACAATAAGTCAAATAAATAAATTCCATGTGCATTTGTTTTACAAAGTGGTAGGATGTTTCTCTTGCTAGGTTATACACTGCCATTTCACCTGGGGGTGCTTCTGGCCAATCTTACCTTGAGCCTTCTGACACAGGGAACTCCCCAGCAACTTTCACTCCCAGAAAATGGAGTCACTTACAGACAGTGAACAGTCAGTTCTGAAGCCCAACACAGAAATCATGTAAGCAGTTACTCTGACCACTGAGTTCAGAGAAAACTTATTTTGCATATCCAAGTACCACTTTGGGGTTTTGTGGGTTGCTTTTGTTGGGGTTTTTTAATTGCTTCCGCAGATCCTGTAATTCAGACTGACGTAGCTATAAAGATACCACAATAAAGTTTACTTTTATTCCTTCCAAATTCTGCTTCTATATTTCTAGATTAATCCAACAGTTCTGTAATCCTGTTTAGGTTTCCCATCAGGGCCTGGCAAAGACGGGGTGAGAGATGACAGCTAATTGTCACCATGTTGAGGAGAAAAGCTCACACTCTTGTTAAGGCAACCTATTTTTCTGACCGCCCTGAACCTTTCACAGAAACCAGCTCACAAAAAAAAAAAAAAAAAAAAATTGAAACTAATGAACCCTGAACTTCATCCAACTTGTTTCTAATTGAATTTTGCCATTCACTTCACTTCACTGACTGGGAGTTGGCAGAGCAGTTCTGGAAGTGCAATGCAAGAACAGCACATCCCGTGAGGAAGCTCAAGGTAGGATTTTGTACACACTGAAGCAGTAATTTGGAAAGTTTATAAACAAACTGTCAGGACAACGTCAGCACTGCACAGACTATCAACTATCACAGGGATCATGGCTGAACAGACACTTCTGGATTTATTTTCCACTCAGGGCAGCACAAGCCCAACCAGAAAAATAAAGAGAATTTGTCATACACTGTCAAATTATCCAGCACATGTTTTGATGGCTGTTGGAAATGAAAGGGAGAGGTAGCACTGCTCAATGGAAATTACATTAGACACTGCAAGCCTCCTTTGCTTTTCCATCCAATTCTTTCTTCAGGCTGGCAGTGGCATCAACTTAATGAAGGCCTTCTGAGGCAATGATGGAAGCAGCAGCAAGATTCAGAGGCTTTTACTCTATAGAGTTGGCAGACAAAGAAGTGACAGAGCTTTAAGATCACTTGGGGAGCCGTATGTCAAAGGAAGACTAGAAATAGCAACTTTAAACCCCAGAGTAATGGGACATGCTAGGATAAAACAGCTAGTGAAACAGAAATGATGGTATATAACCCAGTAAGAAAGACATCACCATGAGTGTTTTATACTTTGACAATTCTCATTAAATAAAATTAAGTGCTTTCCTATAAACAAAAAGGATGCTCATAACGTCCTTCTGGCACAAGTATTTTCCTAACAAAGCCCTGTAAACATGCCACCAAAATTTAGTTTTTACCAGCAGAGTGAGCTCACTAGAAATGCAAGTGAAATCAAAAAAACAAAATAATTTGTAAATTTCTAAGTAAATACATCCTAAAGAATATGGCATTTACATCAGTGTGCAATATATTAATTTTGAAAGTGATAACTTCAGCATGAAAATTACTTACCTGTAGTTAAAGTTTTCCATATTGGCCAATACATAAATCCTGATTTTTGGTACTGCATACTTTATCTCTGAAATATTTGAAATGTCATATTCCAAATCAAAGTCAATACACAAAAATATTTAAGTTATACTCAGTCTAACAAAACCCACCTCAGCCACTGAAAAATAAATGTGACAGTGTAGTGTTTAATAGCATCCAAAGGAGTTTTAGAAAAAAAGAAAATGTAGCTCACAATAGCAATCTGAGGCACTGCTGTATTTAATAAGATGTGAAGTGCACTGAGTCACAAAAGTATAACTGCTTTAATACTTTCATTTTGAGCAAACATTTTAAATAGTTTAGTGTTTTAAGGGAGTGTTGGTTTTTTTTTTTTAAATTAATGCTGGATTTGTAGTTCTCAGGCAAAAAAATACTTTTAGGTAACACCCTCCTCCCTTCTCCCATAAAGGGGTTTTCAATTTTAAGTTTTAGATTCAACCTTTAAATATGCATTAAGATGCAGAGCAGACACAGATTTTTACGCACACGTATGCTGAGACAAATTTGATAGGATCGCAAAAAAGCCTACATTATACAAACAATTTTAAGAAAAATAATTGAGTGTTACTTGCAAGTTTATAGTAATGAAGATGTGGTATCTAAATATATACAGAACCTCTACTTCAAAAGTCAGATTTATGAACCGAGTGGTTAAAATCTAACAAACAACAGATTTTCATTTAAGTTGCTCAACACAGCATTATTCAGGTATTACCAGATCATTTCTCTCACTTCAGGTGATAGTCTACATCCCCTTTCAGAAATTTTCACAAAAATAATGGTCCTTTTTCTCAGATCAACTCTGGAAATGTTTTCACAGCTGTATTCCTTTGAACTGTTGCTGGCAAGCAGAGCTATTGTAGCACAAAGTACTTTTTAATGTAAGAATCACCACATTTAGCTTCAGTCAAAATTTAGCTATCTATACATTGGACAGAAGAAAAATAAAATATTATAGGTGTTCAAGTGCATCAACAACAAGAGTGAAAACTAGTAATAGACTAATGTAGGTTCAGCTGATGGAACTGGTGCCATCAAAAACACGAGCTTGTAGTGGTTGAACTGCCTTAACAAACCTGACAGGAACAGAACACTGAAACTACTGACAGAAAGCTTGCAGGATTTTCCCTAACTTAAATACATAAATCAAAACCTGGCTATAATTAGAGTTCCTTGTTAATACTGATTCACAATTTAAGAGCATAAACTACAGTCAGTACAGGGCTCACAAATCTGTGCATAAAATGGCTGATGTTTTAATAAGAAGTGGTTTCACATTAATGGCAGGCCACCACAGAAAAGAATGGAGGAATAAAACACTTTGGTTTTCACTTTTTCAGAGGCTCACGTTTCTCATTAGACTTAGAAGCAGCAGCTTTTCATAAGCTACTCTCATTGGGAGTGCTTATTTTTTATAAAACATTAGAAGGATTATGATTATTTTAGTGTTTGACAGGTTTTACTTCAATTTTTACATAAATAGCTTTCACCATATTGTGGTTATGCTTAAGTATAAGAACACTGATCAATAGTTTAGATGCACAGTATTTATTTCTTCTGCTGGAAGGCAACTATATTTAATAATTGTATCCAAGACACTTCAAATCATTCAGAAATATGGCATGCAGTATCCAAAAGTATGGCTCTGAGGATATTTTTTTACATTAAGCATAAAGAAATTTTATATTCAACATTCATTATATTTCAAGAAAACTATCTATTCAGAGTTCTAGCTCTTTGATGCAGCATTAAGGATTAAAACTTACCACTTTACCAGGCCTTGCCCATGTGCAAATAAATCCCTCCTGACAAGCAGTGACTATACAGTCTTCAAGAAAAATTAACACAGTCAGTCTTTCATGTGCTATCTTTTTACAGATAAGAGGCTCTAACAAGGGAACATCTTCCATTCGGGGACAGAGAGGTGTTCCCAAAGTTTTAGCTGGGTCCGTTTTGGTTTTAGTAACTAGGTTCAGTTTGTCACTGCTCTTGCTAGATATATGTCCCATGCTATGGTTTCTCTTGTGATCTTTTTCATGGTGTCTTTCCTTCCGATCGTGTAGCGATAAGGTTGCAAATTTACTAACGCCAGAAGCAATGGCACCATCCATGACACTGCTCTTACTGCCAGCGTTTGAGACTGCAGAGTGGGGAAGGCTGTTTGACCGTGGAAGAGGAGGGGGTACAGAGTTTCCAGGTGTTGTGATACTGTTTCCATTACTTCCCGGGTTAGTTCCACCGCTTCCCGCAGGCGGACTTGTGGCATTCATGACATTTGTATGTGTCCTTGCTCTTGACAGAGGTTGGTGGGGGAAGAGGATATCTTCTGTAAGATCCCACAAACACAGCTGCGTGTCCTGGCCTACCGAACCAAATCTATACGTAACACTTACTGGACGACTGTCTGTAGAGTTCCTTTTGGACAGTCTGGACTGCGTGCTATTCGCTCGATCTCTGCCAAAATGAAGGTCTTGGAAATCCTCATCGCTTCCGCTAAATTCCATGGGGTCGCTCTCTTCTACACTAGTGGTGTACGGATCAAAGGCCACCACGCTGACCCACGATTTGTGTCCGTGGCCTCGCGCTATGACTCGACAGTCCACGAAGGACCAAACTGTCACCAAGTCATCCTCTCCTCCTGTCACTATGTACTTCCCATCGGGGCTCCAACACACACACAGCAGTCCTCCAAAGTAGCTTTTCATTGTACCATGCAATTCCACCGAGTCAAAGTTAAACACGCGAAGAAAACCATCCTGGCTCACGCACGCCAAGAACTTCCCATCAGGGGAAAAGGCAAATTCGTTCAGGGCACCCTCACCTACTGTCCATTTAAGCAGAGGGTTTCTTGTGGATTTACTCTTGCAAGTGTGCACTGCAAAACTCTCTCCTTGCTTAAGTAGCTGGTAGTGCGGGGCTGTGGTACCACAAGTGTGCTCCACGTTATACAAGTACATATTGCCACTGGAATGAGCTACTAGGAAAAGGCTTTCCGAACCTGGTACCCATTTTACACAGGTTACTCGGGACTTGTCTATTAGTCTCTGTGAAAAACAAAGAAGATACACATCAGAAACTCTGAAAATTAAAGTTTCCATGATTAACTGTAAATTTGGGCTTTCTGGGGGATGAGGAGCAATACTTCAATGAAGTGAACTTAACTTTCTAGACAGGAACTATGTTGGTTACTGTATTTGCTAAAACTTATCAGGCAGTAGAGGGGAAATTATTTTCAGACCAAGTACTTTCAAAGGTTATTATTATGGTCCAGTCATGTGCCACAAAGACCGTACTTCACTCAAGCCAATCTGTTCTGAATCTAAAGGCAGTGCTCCTTGGTTTACTTTTCCCTGTGTAGGCTGAAGAGCATGAGAAGGAAACAAGAAAACACTGAATAAACTAAAGGGGAAAAAGGCAGTTACTCATCTGGATTATAAGCAAACAGGTTACAAATCAACAACAGTAAATTTAGGCTCTGATTTTATCTGAAATCACAAATAAAATCCAACCTTTAAAAAAAAATCTACAGCTTTTACTGATTCAGGGAGCAAAGGCTGCATACACAGAGACCCTGTTATCATGAAAGTCAGTAGGTAAATGCACGGGCTGGGTGAATTCACAAGGCATTACCAACTTTTCACCTTGGAATCCCCAACCTCCAATTATTTTTCTTTCAATAGCCAAGCACCTGTCAATGCTCTGTTACCATTTGATGAAGCACTTTCCTTTAAAACAATGTTTTAATAGAGTTCATCGTTGCAAAAGGATGCACACACATTAAACAAACACTCCTGGTAATAATGTCTTCAATGCCCTAAGAACTGAGAGGTGAAGTTTGACTCCTCTGACTACTGTAGTTCTGGTGGACTTCCACAACTTACCATGTTGTTCATGGCACCACTCAGCTGTAACTTGCAGACAAGTAATTCTTTACAAGCACATTCAAGATTTGTATTTGGTACATTGATTGAAAGCAGAAAGAAGAGCTGAGCTACACAAAAGGCAAGAATGCAAATATAAAGAGCCTAAGGAATACCAGAACAAGTTGCAAAAGCCCTAAAAAGAAAATAGAAAGAAGAATTCTCCCCCCGTCAAACCTTGCTATGCTGTTTATCACACACAAAACCATCAAACTAATGGATAATACATCAACTGTTATCTGTTGTGGAACTGTCACTGGAGAGCAGCACCTGGCCATTTTAGATCACACTTCTGCTGCTCTCAACCTCAGTATAAAACCAGAAAGTCTCTCTCCTGTAATTTCTCTTTGGTTAAAACAGCCATGGGACATTTGAGAGCTGAGAGATGTTACTAAATATGGCACTGTTCCTTCAAATGGAGTAGCTTTAAAATAATAGAGTCTGTGATTCTGTTGTGATATAGTCTGTGATTCTGTTGTAATATTTTAACTAGTTTGTCATATATTCACTGATATATATTCATGCATGTCTCAATAATGATGGCATCAGAAACATTAGGGAGAAAGTTACCTGGCACACAGTAGGAGAACATGGGCAGGGAACACCAGCCCAGCTGGTTTCCTGTAGGCACCAATCTTCTCATTGCCAGTATGGCAACAAAAGCAAAATTTCTTGCTCTCTGCTAGAGCAGCTCAATCTGACATACAACCTTTATTTGTAAGAGCACCTGCTCAACTTTTATATGAATAATGCACTTTATGTCTATAACCATGTTGGCCTACATGATCCTAAATACTGCAGAGAAACTCTGCAAACATGATCTTTACTTCAAGGAGGCTGTGAAAAACAGAAGATTACAATTTGCAATGAGAACAGATCAGCTCAGGAAGATGCAGAGGGACTCAAATCTGACACGTACAAGTGACCAGAATGCACCCCCTTCTCAAGATACAAACTCTGAAGTTTTGACTTTCTGATGGAAGAACAGGAAATGAAGAAGCTTCACTCACCAGGCAGAAACACTTGCCAAGATTATCTTGGTCATGTTTTGAAGAACTTGAAGGGACAAAATTACAGACACAGGCCACAAATGACTGAAAAATCTGAGGCAGTCAAAGAATCTGCATTAAGGTCTTACACAGCTTTGGCAACAAAGATACAGGACGAGTTTATTAGAAAAAAAAATGTAGCTCAAGGCTTTGGTTTAAATTAAAAGGATTAAAAAGTAAGATGAAAAAGCAGTGGCTAATTTGATAATAACCAATCACTGCCTGGAAACAACTGAATCTGTCAGGTGTATTTGACTGTTTGGGCAGTAAGAAAACATCACTGCTTTAATTCTGACACAGCTGGAAGGAATACCACTGTGACTACAGATGGATTTATGTAGGCAGCCACAAGCTGCCTATCATAAGTCCCTATCATCCTCTACATCAATAGAATTTTTAAAAAATAGTAACAAGTTGAAACAATGCTAGGGCTATTGCATTTTATGTTCAACATAACCCATCATAACAGGTTGATTTATTTCATGTATCATATACATTCTGATTGCTATTCTGATTGCTCTACCACAGCTGATAGGCAAAGCAGAGCTCTGGGCTCCCTGAAGCACCAATTACTCACAGGAGAGGTGGTGAATTCTGTTACCTCCAGCATGAGTGCTGGATCTGTAGAACAATGTTCACACTAATTCAGACCACCTTATGCCTACAGTTATTCCTAAAGACTATCTAAACTCAAAATATATTCCAAATCCAATAGGCACCTTCATCTTGAAGCAAATGAACTGGTTCAAACATCAGTGCTCATGCTTCTCTGAAAGGGGCTTTAAATACAAGTCAGAACTTTAAAACACATTTAGAGCAAACTTCAATACTGTAATCAACAGAATAAAAATATATTTCAGTTTTAGATTTGGTTGTAACTGCAGATAAGGTCAGTGTGGGAAACAAGAATTTGTCATTTATTGTAGCCTACTGTGTGCAGTTTTGGTAGCACTGAGCAAATCCTTACATTAGCTTGGTACAAGAGAGATCACCTCATTTAGATTTCCACCAAACTGTCAAAGGCCACATTTCCACCCCACAGAAATTTTGTCTGACAATGGCACAGACAAAAAGCAATACTGGCTGACGGAAGTGGCTGCAGTGCTTCCAGCATGTGGGGAATACCACAGGAGCTATTCAGGCTGCAGCACAGCTCTGCACTGGAGTCACCAGACACCATCAAGGCCTGGAAAGGTGCACTGGGCCTTGATATAAATATTCCAGCAGAAGTTTTTTTCAAAGGAATTCAGCTCAGCTACAGGAGTGGGAACTACTCTGTGATATGCAACCAGCTGTTTAGAGATGTCTGCTACCCTTCTTAATACTTACAATATTATTGTACAAGAATAAATAACACACTTTTGGAAGGGTGGGTGGGGGTGGTAGGACAATGCTAAAATTAACAATTCAACTACTTATACAGAGGTTTTTACCAACAGACAAAAGATTGATTAAAAGACTCTCCAGCACTGTTTCCCACTCAACACAAGCAGAGACAGAGCAGTTGGGACAAGGCCAGGTAGGAAGAAAAACACCCCTCTTCTGATCTAATGTTGCTACTTTTAGAAAGCTGAGGAGGAATTAGATCTAATTATAAAACATCCCCAGTGAGAACACTACTTCAATCTTCTTTGCACAAGGAAGGAGGAAGGCAACACATCTCTCTGAGGCAGGAAAGGTAAACTTTGAAAGCTGAGCAAGGCTAAACTTCATCTGTAAAGTTTGAATCCAGATGTGAAATTTCAAAAAAGAAAAGAAGAACAAAGAAACAAAACCAACCAAGAGACCTGCAAACCTCTCTACAGAACTGAATTAAAACAAAAAAGGAGCAGAAGAACAATCCCCAAAAGAAAGTCACCTCCCCCAAACCACCCAAATTCCCAGAGCTTATCCCTCTGCAGAAAATGCTGTCACAAGTCAGCCCAGTTACCAGGTTTCTTTCCTTATTAGCATCTGGACACTTATTCCTGTAGGAATGTCAATGCTACCACATACCCAGAGGCAGTGGTTCTGTAACATGGCATTAGTGCTCCCCACAGTACTCCTCCTATCTTTCCTTACTGCAGCAACAGAAGAAGCAGATGGAGAGTTTCCTTCTGAACATCACATGGCCAAGACATCATAAACCCTCAGCATTTCTGTGCCCTCAGCTTTACAGCCTACTCTTATCCAAGCAGGCCTTTAGGAATATGGGCAGCTTTTGCTGTAATGCCCCAACCATAAAAATGTGTATTTTTAACTTATTTAATATTTTCACTATAAAATATGAGTTAAGTAGTGGCTTAAAATTTTCTTCTTCATTGGCAATCAGAAGCCTCAGAAACAACTGAATTCAGAGCACACACAGCAACATTTACACTTGTAGACCTTATTTCCATCTGTAAACTGTCCTCAATGCTAGTTACAGTATTACCCAAACTAGAAAATTCTAATTTTTAATTCTAAACCCCACAAGATGCCTTTATCTTTTCACAATGAATAACATTTTTATATAAGTACTCCGAGCCAATGGAACAGCTGAAAAACAAAGGCAGTGACTGAACAATAAGCTACACAGGCAAATGGAGCCACATCTACAGAACTTTGAAAATCTAGAAACTTCAATATCACAAATACATTGCATGCAACAATATTAAGATTTCTACTTACTTCCTCATTAAATAATTTGCTAGTTTCTTTTTTAATAGGGTCTATAAGTTGGACCTGGCCTGCAGAGAAGCCCACTAGAAGAGACACACTTTCTGCTGTGGCTGTTAAGTGATTGAAGTCGTGGCATGTAGGCTGTGTTCCTTTGTATATCCTTTTGTCTATTGGTTTACTCAAGTCCGCAGCCTGCAAAGAGAGCAAACAGAATTCAGTTTATCACAGTGTGTGCACATAACCACAGCTGGCTGAAAGCAATGTTCATACCACACTACAATTTATACAGTCACAAAACCCTACTTTAAAAAGCAGCTCTGCATTTATGAGACATCCAAGATCTTATCAAAATGTTTCTCCTGCCCTTGCCTTGGCACCTCCAGCACGTGACAAACCAGTGCCAACCACTCGGTAGCACGAAGGCTCCTGTGGGTCCCCAAGATACCAGAAGGCTTCTCCTGCCCCAAGAGCCATCACAGAGACAAGGTATCTTCTACTTTTCTAGCAGCACTTTCCCAGTATTGAGTACAACCAATTTTGCATTAAAAATACCATATTCTCAATCACACAACTCTTGAACTGTAAATCTGTCCTTTAACAACAGGCAAACAAATTATATTGTTCTCCATAACCACAAAAAATGATCAATCAGCTCCAAAGAGAGCATTTTCTAAGAACAGTGATTCAAGATACTGATCCTGTGATTATAAAATACTTTTTACACCACTGAGCTACAAAGTAATTTGCTTCTGAAAACAAAACTCAAATATAGCTCAGACAAAATAAGTGCTAACAAAACTGAGGAATTTCAATATAAACAAATTAAGATCTAGCACTAAGTGTCAGAAGAATCAAAAGGAACAGAAAAGCAATTTAAAATGCTCCCTCACTTGTGTCACCCGTGTTTATCCCCATATCACTTCTGAACAGACAACTAAATCTTTCATCATGCAGAGACTAAACCCCAAACATTTAATATGCAAGATCATACACCACGTTCAACCTTGTTTTTTAACCTCCCTATTTACGAGGTTCAGAGTCTGTAATTAGAAAGCTGCAGATACTCAGACAATATTACAGGCCTCAGATGTAGCTGTGATTTGGGGCTCAGATTCTAATTTTGATATATACTTTTGCAGTTATTTAGTCAGAGGAAATCAGGCCAGCAATAAAAGAGAAAGTAAACAAGCTTCACATGAAATAGAATTGCTCCAGAGCATTAAACCTTGGAGGACAAGGACTGAAGAGCAGCACATCTTTGGTATTCACAGAGCTACACAGACAGAAACTAGACCTGTCAGTAGGGAAAAATCCTAACCAGCTACACAGGTGAGCCATTTCCAAGGCAAATTTAACTACAGGATATGCATGACAAGCACTTACACACAACAGTATTGAGGCTACACTTATGTTTTGCAGCATATATCATAAACCAGTTCAATCAGGTGTACGGTCTCCTAGTTAAAAACTCCAAAATGAGATGATGTATTACAATTTTTAAAGTCAGCAGACTAAAAAGTTATTCCCCAGACTCCAGAGATCCATTTTAAGCTAAAAGAGAAAATTACCAATACCTCTTCAAGGAGAAATTAAATAGAATACTAGTTCTACAGGGAGATGGCAGGATAATGTGCATGCCTGCCACAGAGCCTTCACCAGCTCACAGGCTGATGTAAATCTGTGATCTGAAGTTGAAAAATCAAATCCTAAAGGCCTTGCAGTTATGTCTTAGACTGTGCAATATCACTGCACTTGTCCTATATCACTGTAAGCAAGTGCTGCCAAGAGAGAGCTCTCAGAATTGGGGTAGCATTTCTATCTGGAAGAGCAAGCTACACAGACACATAGCCATACCTCAAATAAAGCAGAATTAAAGCAAACCTATGAGACTCAAAGTTCTCTCCTCTGGATAGAAGTTGCAGCAGGACTCAATGCTAAGAACAAAGATCCATTCTAAAGTAAAAATTACTTGGCCTGAATCCTACTGAATGAGCAGAGAACCACAGACTGTCCCAGCCAGCAGAGGATACAGGCGTTACCACCTTCCCCTGAATCCTCATTGTCCCTTTACGTAGCAAAGAATCAATAAATAGGTGGCTATGTTCAAACTACACCTTGCTCTTTTGTCTGGGTGAGGTTTTACATCACTAGCTTTTGTTTTTGTTGTCCAACAATTTTGGTGTGACAAGTTCCCCGCTGCATGAAATTGTGTGGTAACAGACCTAGCAACACATGAAATTCTGATAAATTAAATCTCAGCACAGACTTCACTGTGCTTATTCTAGCTGTTCTCTGGGAACCAGATGGCAGTGAGAATCTGTCTGAACTTAAATGAAGTATAAATAAACTAATTCAACCCAGAATTAACCAGGCTTCAGCTGACAGGGATGCCTTGCCTTTTATTTACATGCAGCTACTGCTTCCAGTTACAGCACAGTTGTCTCATGGAGATAAGTCAAATCTACAAGCACTAAAACACTGCTTTGGTCTACATCTCTCTTAACTGAAAGAGAGAAGAATCAATGGGCACAGCAACTAGGAGACATTTTCTTTATTTCTGCATGAAGGTTGCTATTGGATTTTGCTAAGAACAAGAGAAGTGCTTACTCATAAAATTCAATCATGCATGGGAGTCAGCTTTTCATTAGCTCACCACTAAACCCATTTGCTATTTTGTGAAAGATGTGATTCTCAGAGAAGAGCTTTTACATGAGATCTTGTCCATAAAAAAGGGTCAAATCCCAGGAACTGACACTCTCTACTGAACAAGGTGATATGAACTGCCCCCCACTTAGAAGTGGTGATGTACTTTGAAAAAACCCAGAAAAACCTTGGGATTAAGTGTTGCCAGGCATGGAGATTAAAACCACAGAGGCAGACACCCTCACCATGGCAGCTGGCAGCAAGCTGTTTGCACACTTCCTGTCCCAATGCTTTTAAAATTTCCTTCTGAGAAACACTCAGCACTATTCCAGCCTGTCCACTCTGAGAAACTCCCTCAGTTGTGGATGATTCAGGATGAGAGCACCACTTGCAGTAATCCCAGCTGAAAGCACAATGGGGCAGCCAATGCAAGGCCAGGAATATCAGGAGCATCCTTCCCTGCTGAAGTAAATCCCAGCTAACCAAGGCTCTGGGACTGGCACCTTGGCCAGCTGATACCTGTGCTCAAAGTCTGCTCCTCCAGACAGAGGTACTGCACCCCCTGGGCAAAGAGACAAGGAGGAACAGGTTTGGGCAACAACAGGAACTCACACAGCTGTATAAAGCCAGTGAACAAGAGTGCTGTACCTTGGGCACCAACAGCTCCCAAGTCCTGTCTCTGAGGAGATTAAAACTCTACTTTAAGAGAACCTCACACTTGCTCACAAAAGAAAAATTGAACATTTAGTTTTGCATGATGAGTTCATACTCTAGAAATAAAACATGAACCATGTAACTGTTTGAGGGACTTCCTATTCTTATTTATTGAACTCTCACAGCACACTGTTTTAACAAAACTATTCCCACTCTCTTGGGGAGGGAGGGAAGAAAGAAAAAAAAAATCAAACAGTTTAACAGTAGCCCATTCACCCTGGACTCATGACTTCCAGTAGAAGGGCAGTCAAATGGAGCATATTAATCATAGCTTTAACTACATAAACATTAAGAAAAAAATGGCAGAAAAAACCCAACAAAAAACAGTTGCCTTGGTTTGAAGCAAATTTTAAGCATTCGGATTCTGATGTCTGAAATGCCCGATTAGGATGGGCATCAATAACCTTGGTTCTGTAGCTGTGTGAAACTCTAAGGTCAAAGCCAAAGATTAATATCTATCCAAGATTTATTTTATTGATCCAAGACTTAGAGCTTTCATAATAAGATTGCCTAAACAGTGAATCACATTATTTTAAGTCACTGTTTAATCACACTCCTTGACAGATGTTATTTCTTCCTGTATCTTTTCTTTTCCTAACTTACATTTGCAGCTTTCTGCAAATTTTACTTGACTGAAATGTGTCATACATGCTGCAATTCTTTCCAAGCTAAAAACATTGTGAAGATATTAAATTAATTACTTTATTAATTTATTCCAGGTAATTTCAGTTGTATTCATGAAAAGGCTTCCATTAGACACATAATAGTATTTAATACAACATTTGCCAGCAGACTGGCTTTCAATGGGTCATAGCTGTGAGACTGAGACAGAATAGTGAAGCATTTAATAAAAATTTTACTGCCAAAAAATCCTCTTAAGAAAATCTCTCTTGTCCAGAGAATTAATTGATCTTGAACAGCAGATTACAGATTGCCTATGTATGTACAGCTCTAGTGCACAATAAAAGAGAAGACACACAAGAACCAAGACAATGTACTTTTGAAAACAATTTCCTCAGTATTTCTGGAGCTTGGAATTTGTACCTGACTACCTGTAACTTCCTACCTCTACCACACCTTGCTGTCCAGGGATTTAATGGTCCCTGGTCTAGGGAAAGAGAAAGCTGAGCTTAATATGCTTATTGTGTTATAATGCTGTACAGGTAACAGAAGAAATCAATTCTTAGAATTATTACTAAGTGAGTTTCTTAGAACTTCACAGATGCTCTTCAAAACTTGGCTGTAAAAAGAGAAAAGGCAACCCTTGCTGGAGCCCTCTGCTTTACACAATCTCCTGTGAATAGACAGAACCCTCCCTGACTTGCTCACTGCATTAGCAAGGATAGGGAAAACTGAACTTGTTTATTCTTCCTCCATGTCTGTGCTGGTCTCCTCCTTCCTGCAGACATGCCAAAGGACAGGGACCACTGAGGAACACAAGAAAGCAGAGCTACCCCAGGCACTTCTGTAGAATTTTCTGGCCAACTCCATCCTTGTTTCTGTACACAAGTTTGTGACAGAAATACCAGCGTCAACACTTCACACTCCACTTTATTAACACAGGAGTGAACTTTCAGATTTTTTTGGTTATATAGCCCAAATAGAGATCACTTAATATTAGCAACAGAGTAATTTTTAGTTACATCACCGTTGTTTCAAGCTGATCTGATCTCACAGCTGACCCTGCTTGGGGCAGGTTAGACTGGAGACTCTCAGAGCTTCCTTCCCACCTGAATAGCCCTGGAATCCTAAGCTTAGGATCAACCAAAGCAGCAGCAACAGGGCCACTCCCAGCTTACTTAACAGGTCTGGTTTGCATCATAAAGGAAATTCAG